AAAAAACTTAAAGTAATGAAAATTAAATTTAATCCTTAAAAGCACTTTGTTTGATAAATCATTTAAAACACTCTCTATTAAAAATCAATACTCGGCTTATATAATGAGGTCGATATATAAAACTCAAAATTTTATTTAATTTAAAATTTAAAATAAATTCTTAATCTACACAAATAACTACTTAGAATAATAAAAATTATAACTAAACTCTAAAAACATTTCCTTCTAAGAAAATGTCTTAAACTTTTTTTTTTCTATTCTTAAACCATTCTTATTAAAAAAATCAGTACTCATGAATAATATATTAAAATTTATAAGATCAACGAAAAAATATATAATTGAATAAAGAAGAAGGGGAAATGACCAAGATCTACAACACAAAATAAAAAAAATCAAAATTTAATGGCGACAAATAAAAAAAAAGGAAGCAAATTAAAACGTTCAAATCACGACAAAAACCCAAAAAAGAACCAGTAAAAGCTCATGGCATGGGAGCCAGTAACAGCCACAAGAGCAGAATGAGTGTAGAAGAGAAGATACCTTGTAGTGTTGCTATGAATCAAAGCTTCGACTGTTGAAGAAGAAGAAGAAGCGACCATCAGTATCACAAAATGAAATTAAAAATGAGAAGCGGTGTGTAATCTCTTTAAATATTGGTCGAGAATGATTTTTAATGCATATCCTTTCTTGCCATGGTTCCTATATCCTAGTTTCCTAATCAACTGTTTTTGTTTCATAAATTTCGTTTTTATTTTCTTGTTAAGATATGAATTTATTATTCATCTATATATTTTCTTCTCACAGAAAAACAGTAAAAACAAAATATGCACTGAATATGTGGTAAATCTGAATATACATTTATGACGGAGAGATATTTAAGAATTGTTTTCTTCAAGTCACATGAGATTTATAAATATTTATTTTATTTTTCTCAATTTTACAAGTTTTATCTTTTAAATTTTTTATTTAATAAAATAAGATATTTATAATAAATAACAAAAAAATTCTTATTCTTTATTTTTAAAAATACTGGATTTTACTATTATATATTTGGTAAAACTATAATTTTCTTCTAAATTTAATAATCATAGTAATAGTAACAAATAATGTGATTATTATTAAATAATTTTTTTGGAAGTTATTTTTTTCATTCATGTGACTTATGTTGCATTTAGCATTTAAGTTTTTTTTATTTAATTTAAATTTAAATCTTCAATCTCTATAATTTAATTTTTAACTTTAAAAACTTATGCTTTTAATTTGATATATTTTATATAATAAAATGTTTATTATCAATATAAAATTTATTAAATTGAAAAATGATCATATATATTTTTATTTAATAATACAAGCTCAGTGCATGAAAGATTTTCTAATTATTATTATTATACATCTGATGAATATTTTTTTAAAACTTGTAATGATAAAAATTAAAGTTTAGAAAAATACAGTGTGTTTAGTTAAAAATAGAAAGAAGAAAAGGCGATGAAAGAGACATGAGATTATAAATGCACAAAACTCAACGCCTAACAAAATAATCTTTACCAGGAAGGAAAACAATCTAGTGCTATCGTTTGCCTTTTTTATAAAGGAAAATAATTGTTTTAAATGACAGATTTTTAACCAGCATGCTAATTTGAGCAAAACATTTCAATAAAAATAAAATATATAAAATATAATAAAAATATTAATTTTGAAGTAAATTATTTATTTTAAATATTTAAAAATTAAATATAAATACTTAAAATTAAGATGACTAAAATTATACATACATTAAAGTATAATTAAACTAAAATTAAAATGAAAAACATAATTTTGTAATTTAATAATAATAATATAATGGTTCATTCAAACCTTTTATTAATTAACTTCAATAAAAATAATCTTATTCACCAAATTTTCTTAAAATATATATACATACTATGTAGCACATTTTACGGAACAAAATAAATATAAATAAATTCTTTTTACCGTGAGAATGTGAAAGGAAAATTAAACCATTAAATTTTATCTTAAATGATTATAATTAAAATATAAAAATTATGTTACATTTTAAAATGATTATGTAGTTTTAATTAACATTTAATGTTGACTGTCATATACAATTGTTCGGTAAATATTTATTATTCTTATATACATATACGTAAACATATTGGCACTGGATACATTCCGTTGTTAAACACCATAATAAAATTAAATATTTAGACGTTATTCAATTAAAACTAAAACTAATTATATATTTATTTTTATATTTTTATAGATAGTTTTCTTAAAATATTAAAAATAATAAATGAACAAAATTATATGTTCAATAAAAATATTTTATTTCTTTTATAATTGATGAAAAATGTTCGCTCATATAACTTAATGCATAATTTTATAAGCTAAAAATTTAAAGTGTTAATTATTAATCAGTATAATTTGTTTGATTGACTTAATTCAATTGGGAAAAAATAATGTACCAATCACTGATCAATTAAATAAATGTACAACAATGAAATATTAAAATATTTTCGTATCCAATGACACATTGAAAATTAAAAAATTACAAATGCTTATAACATAAATACAGAACATTAATATAGTTAAAAACAATAAAGATTTCGCGGTACATTTTCAAAATGTTTATTAATTAGATTCATGAAAGTGAATCATATTCAGTAAATATTTTTAAATTCATATGTAATTTCTTACCAAAAAACATTTAAAAATTAATTATTATAATATTTTAAAATATTATGTGTCAACGCTTGAATATCTTTAAATGGAAAGATATCTATGTGTTACATAAGTATTTTTAAAGTTAATAAAATTTATATAAAAATAAATTACAGAATAATATATTTTTATTTTAATAATATTTTTCTATTGTCTTAAAAAAACAATAAATTAAATATTCAAATTTAATATATTATCAATATATTTCTTTTTACATCTTCAACCAATTAAAATATAAGATATATATATTTTTTAAATTAATTGTCATAAAATTAATTATTTTTATTGATACAAGAGATCTTGACCGAATGTCAATGTAAAAATAATTTTTCTTGTTAACACATTTTAATTTATATATATATATATATATATATATATATATATATATATATATATATATAGTTAGAGTCGCGCGTTAAAGCAAAAACCTCTCAATGAAAAATATCAATGACATACACTCTCACACTCCTTTGTCTATACTATTCATTGTTGAGTAAAATTTATGTTAGACACAATAAATAAAAATTAACAGGTACAAAAATCATATGTAACGAGCTTCGTTAAATTATAAATATATTAACTATACAATACCAATACATAATGTTATTTTTTTGAAATATATTTAATGTAATAATATGATTTTAAAAGATGATTATATGTAGAAAAAACATTATATTGCTGATGTGATTGTAAAAATGTTGGATTTTCCTAGTAATTAAAGTGGCAACTTTTGTAATTCAATTTGTCCAAGTTCGAACATACATTAACTCTAAGCAGATGAGAAAGATGCTTCTCTAATCCATTGGTACCTTAAGGAATTAGAAAATTGAATACAGAAGGAGACAGAGTATCTTGGAAAGTTCATTAATTAGCAATGTGGCACGAAGAAAAGGGAAGAACTCGAATAACACATGGGTTCACAAATGCCACCTTCCACAGAGAACTGTTACGTTTTAGTTCCGACATTTCCTATGTTAAACTGGCTTTTCCTTTTGGCCACTTGTTAGTTTTCAGGAGCATCGAATGGCATGATCTCATAACAGAATTTTAAAAACAAAGGGTAGTTTTCTGTTTTGAAAATACTAATCAAACATACCTAAAGACCTTTGTTTGAGAAGGAAAAGCCACGTGCATCTATTCAGCTATTTCTAGCACGTTTCAAAACAGACATCTTTAGAAAAGAGTTCTTAAGCCTTATTATCAATAAACAAATCATCCATGCATTGCTAACCTTGAAACTTTATCATTTCTTCTTCGTACTCAACATATATCAATCTATAACGAGTAATTCCCCCTCGTTAATCAGTGTTTAGCGAGAAACATAAAAAATGAATTTTTTTTAGAAAATAATTAACTTCCAATGTAAACTTTAACTATGGCAGCGTTTAAGTTATATGTAAGATTCACCATATATTTATTATTTAATAAACCAGGCATAGCCGAGTGTACAGTTGTACTATATGTACGTTTTATGGTCTTGATTAATATTTACGATGATCGAACAAAACATTTAAGAGTTTGGAAGGGGAATGCTTCGCTTTATTAATCCACTTTAAGAAAACAATTTGATCCAATCTAAACTTAATTTGTCTGTGTGATATGTATATTTCTATATATAAAATTAACTCGTTACTCTTATACAACTGTATATTTATAAATTTGCATATTTAATTATTTTTCATAATTTTACTTTTAAACTTACATAACAATATTAATAATAATAAATGAACATAGACACGAGCAATTGATTTTTCGCAAATGAAGTAGTTAAATATTATCTTTTAAAATATATTCAAAATAATTTCTAGAAAAGGCTGAAAATAAATTAATTTTTTAAATAGTTTTAATCAAATAAATATAACTTATGAGCAATAATTTATGTAGGAAAAATAATTTTATTTCAAAACAACTATAGATAAACGAATCGAAAATTCAAAAATAACTGTTGAAATATTTTAAATTAAATTAAAAAATATTTTAATCTTTTGTGGTAAGCTTGTTACCCAAAATTGATTAACTTAGATAAAATAAAACGACGAGATAAGCTTAGATAAAATAAAACGACGAGATACGCTTTATCTCGGAGCTTTGATAATATTAATTATCAAGAAAATAGAATTAGCAAACTACAAAAAAGTAGGGGTGCGGATAAACAGAAATCAGCTTCTCCCGCCTCTGCACACACTGAATAAAAAGGCCCTGCAGAAACACAAAACACAAAACTCCTTATTTTCATAGAGAGATCGAGGTATAGTTGACGATTTCTCTCTCGCTCTCCGCAAATGGAAACGCCAGAAAGGAACAAGATCAATGCTGATACTTCCCAACCTGAGGTTTTCCTTCTTTCTCTGTTTCACTCCTTACTTCTTTTCTATCTTTCTTTGCATGTGCTATCATCACTGTTCTTTTTCTTTTTTAAAGTCAAGTTCAAGTGATGGAAGAACCCGTTCTTTTACTTTTTCTGGTCACAATTGATGTTTTTTTTCATACCTTGTTTCCGTCAAAAATTTTATATACTTGCAATCAAATTCGGAATTTTCTGATACCTTGTGTCATCAGGTTTGTTAACCAATTATTTTGTATATCATTTTCTGAATTGCGTTTTTTTTTTTTTAGCTTGATGGAAAATTAAATGAACTTTCATGACGTGTATGCATAAAATTTTGTTTTACTTCACCCATTTTGATCATATTTTGTATTCTTGGTGACATGCAGGATTCTCCAGTATTTAACTATATGAATACTCTATCTCCTGTAAAGCCCATTAAGTCTGTTTATTTTACTCAGCCATTCAACTCACTCAGCTTTCCGTCCCCTCCACCGGTTTTCACCTCACCCCATGCCAACTGTCCCACGGAATCCGGATTCCTTAGGAGGTAACCGTAAAACCTTCTTTTCCTGTTTAGTATTCTTGATGATTGTGGGTGATATTTGTCTATATAAAATTATAGATGTTTTAGTGGCATGTTTTTTATAACTATCAATTTTTGTAGGCATGACCTTTTGGACACATCCACACTTAATGTTTCGTCTGAAGATGTAAATATTATCTCTTTACGTGATGAGGTTGTTGCAGTTTCAACTCATGCATGTTATGACACAGTTGAGATGCAGGAAAATACTGATCAACAGATTTCCGTTGGAGATGGCTTAATTGAGCCATCTAATGGAAACCCAGAATTCTTACTCAAGCTTCCACAAGCCTTAAAATATAATTCTGGGACCACTGGGTATGATCCTCTACTTTGTAGTGATGAGGCTAACTCTGTGTTGGAATTACCTCGCAAGCCAGCACCAGATTTTGCTTATGTTTCAGAAGGCTCTGAAAAAGATTCGGTTAAGGAGGAAATCCATATTCCAAGCATATGCCACAGTGAGGCAAAAAAGAAAGGCCCAGATTGTGATTGCGAAAGTTTTGTGACTGGAACCTCTAATCTGTTAATGTTTGGTTCTTCGATACATTTTAGCAATATAACGAATTTGTTACAAAAACCTTCCACCAATCGTGGTCATGGAAAGCACATTATTAATCCAATTGCTTCTGGTTCAGAACATGAAACTGAAGGCTGTTCTTCTAAATCAATAGCAGCCTCAGATACATCTCAGGAACAGGACAATCTTGCCAATGATGCTTTGATGACTAGCAATTCAAGTGAGAAAACGGGTGAAAACCAATTCACATGTGCAAGCCAATTCGTTTTGCTGCTCTCTGCAAGCCAAGAACAGAAACTATCAACGGTACCTGCTTCAGTGGAAAGAGATTTGGAGTCATCAAAGAATGTCATTCAGCCTGCTGAAGATTTTATCCCATCAGTAGTTCACATGGCTGATGAAGATTTCCAGCAGAATAACCAAAAAAAGAAAAGGTGAGTACAGTTGTTATCCATTCTGCCTGATAATCTTCATCCCAATATATTTTAGCTTTTCCTTCCTTCATTGTCCTGATACCAAAGCTGAATGCAGGCGCAAGTTGGAACCAGCTGGGGAAATGAAGTCTTGCAAGGGGTGTTCTTGCAAGAAATCGAAGTGTTTGAAGCTGTAAGTTTAAAGAAATTCTCTCTCATTTTCTGAGTTGGCATTCTATCCCATGTTGTGATGACCATCATTTATATAGGGCTTGTTTGATTGGGTTTTAGTTTTTCGTTTTTTTTATTAAAAATCTGTTTTGTAAAACAATTTTAGTGAATAGTTTTTAAAAATTAAGAAAAGATTTGCTTGGCAAAACAATTTCAAAGAACAATTTGTTTGATCTGGTTTTGTGAAAGGAGAGAAAATAATTACAGATGACATCTTAGTCAATATGATTTAGAAATATCTTCTTTTGAATGGAAAATGTACTTTTAAAAAATGTTCATCATGGAAGGATAGTTTTGCTGTAACCTTCTGTTTATGCTGGTACTAGTATGATTTTCCTTTGCGAACTCCAATGTGATAGGTTTAAATTTTAAATCAAGTTTGATCTCAGGATATTCTCATATAATGTTATTTGGCAACTATCCTTCAACTAGTCCCCTCCACTAAAAAAACTTTGAATACTATTGCAGCCAGGTTTTGTATTCTCTAAATTTTCAAATTATTTGCACCAAGTAAATTGGTCAAGCTACCTTTGTTTTGTTGGTCTTGCTTATGGGATACATGAATCTTTCCAATTTCTTTTAGCTTTGTGCGTCAATATGTTCTCACAAATTTTTGTGGCATGAAAGCTTGTGTAGAAATCGGGCTTCAATATCTTTCAAATTAGTCTCTTCTTTTTTAACTTTTAGTTTTTTTTTTCCAGTTACTGTGCGTGCTTTTCTCATGGTGTCTTCTGCACAGAATCTTGTTCATGTAAAGACTGCATTAACAAGCCTATTAACGCTGATATTGTTGCTCAAACTCGCGAGCAGATTAAGTCTCGAGACGCACCTGCATTTTCTCCTAAAATTTCAAGAAATTCAGACTCGGTACCTGAAATCGGGGTCAGAACATAAAACTTAATCTAATTTTTCACGTTCAAATTTAAACCACATTTTATTCTAAATTATTTTTTTTCTTCTAGGGTGACCCTCACAAAACTACAGTTTCAGCACGACACAAAAAAGGATGTAATTGCAAGAAATCAAGATGCCAACAGAAATATTGTGAATGTTTTCAGGTTTCTCCGCTGTCATATCTTGTATGCCTCAATTGTCAGTTTTAACTTGAATTACAAAAGTGGTTGTTTTCTTTCGAAGGGAAATGTTGGTTGCTCCTCAAAGTGTAGATGTGAAGGGTGCAAGAACTTATATGGTAGAAGAGGTAAGTCTCTCTTTTATGTTGCATTGATTGGGTTTGGTCATGGCCAATCAAAACCATCAACTTTGCTCTTTAAATTCCTGATCTCTCTATATTTCTCTTCTGAAAATTGTTTGCTGTTAGAGGTAATACTTTTTACGACAATTTCTTTTTCATGTTCAGTTTCTTCTCCTGGAAAAGCTGAGCCTGATGAAGAAACAGAAGCATGTGAAAAGGGTTTAGTGAAAAAAGCTTCACAGAAAACTGGAATTAGGAATATTGATGACCATCCAGATAGTGTTTTTACTACAACACCGTCAGGGCTTTCCAGGTTTGATATATATGCTGCATATTTGTCAGCTGAGATGATAAAATTTATGTCCCTTATTGATGGTGGTTCATTTTTATGTGACAGACCTCCCTTTCCATCAGAGGGTATGCAACCAAGATCTGTTGCTACCATGACAGCTTCAGGATTTGTTGGCAGCCAAATGCTTGGGATATCAGATGTTCCACAGTCTCAACCTAAGTTTGAAAATTCTAGTCAAACTGATCCAGAGGATGAGTCTGCTCTCACTTGCATCAAAATTTCTTCTTCAAATGCCAAGAGGATCTCCTCTCAAAATGGTGACTTTGAATCATCTCCTACTTGCAGCTGTGGGAGGAAGTTGACATTTCCAAGCGGCCCTCCATTTTCTTTTCTTGCCCCTCCCCGTTAGAATGAAGATATTTTTGATAGTTAACAAGTACTTGTTTGTTTCTCATTTATTTTTTAATTTTTAAAATTATATTTTAAAAATCAGTTCTTAAGAAGAAAATAAAAATAAAATTTATGTTAAATGATTTTTTAAAAAAAGAAAAAATATTTTCAAAAATAAAAACAAACAAGCATTTAGCTTTCACCGTCTCTCTTTCCTTTTAAACAAGTTTTTAGTTTGTTGCAATAATAGCTAGTTATGGGCTTAGTTGGGACTGTATAAGGTTGAACTTTGTTTTACTTTCATAATAATATATAACTTTTCTTAATTTGCATAAATTTTGATTTTTTATTACTTAGAGAAATCACTTAAGATTAATTACCTTGGTTAGTCATAGTGGAGTTTTCTTTTTTATTGCAGATTTATTTGTTCTATGAAGTAAATGTGGGTGGTGGTGTTGAATTGAATAATTCTTATTGGTAAGTGGTAATACTTACTCTTATGGTAAGTAAAATAATTAGTTTAGTTTTCAAAATTTGTGAAAGATGGCATAAAAAAAACGAAGTGAAAGTGACAAGTTTGCATCATTTAATCTGAAATATTCACGATAGATCAAAATTCTCAAAAATAAAGTCAATCAAAGTATTTTTTGAATTTAATCGCTTGATTATTACCTAAGAATTCTTTTGAGTAACTGCAAATCACTTTTAATTGCCTCTCTGATCAACTACTTTTAAATGTTTAAATTCAACTTTAAGTATTACATTTAATAAAATTCATAAAAATTATGATAAAAATATATTAATATTTTTAACAAGTATTTTTTGAAATACTGGTTACATTAATCATACTTAACTTACGGTATTTTTTTTCTTTTTTTTAAAGTTTGAATGTGGGTGTTTAGGTGTTTAGGAATTTATTTGAGTTTATCAAACTAGCTATAATTTTTAATTTATTTTAACAAGTTTTTATATATATCAAAATTATTTTTTAATTTATATCAACAAACTTCACGCTCAAATAATTTCTCATCCAATAAAAACTATTAAATAAACATTTCATTAAATTATTTATTCAAACATGTCATTACATAACGTTAGTTCTTCGTATACTTTTGAAAATTTGAAACTACTTCACAAAATAAATATTTCTTTATTTTATATTTTAGTAATCACACAAATACTTTATATAAATATATATATATATATATATATATATGGAATAAAATCTATTGACACCAAATTTTAACTAAATAAATTAAATAATATAACAGTTAAAAAGGTACCTTTTTTTAATTTATTTTTTTACATACTATTGATTAATTTTATACCAACTTTTTTTTTCCCGCAAACAGACATGTTTTTCTCTCGTTTTGTGACAGGTTTTATAAGTATTTGTCTTGAATCAAATTAACATTTTTCCTTTGTAAATAACTATTTTTCAATCAACATTAAATATAATAAGATATTTATAAATATATATTTAATAACATCACTTTAATTCAAAAAATTTTAATCATTTTCAAAGTTAAAACTTTCAATAATATACATTTCTATACCTTGATTAATATATTTTTTTCATTACTATAAACGTCAAAGCCATTACGGCTAAATTGAATAAGATTTCAACTCAATTTTCCCTAAATCTAAATCTCTAAAATAGCAATAAAATAAAATAAAAATTTCAAGCTACAGCCAATGATCTGTATCACCAATAGAAAACAGAAAATAGTAAATTATTAACACTTGAGGTCGTGATGAAAAGAGATGGAAATCTTGAGTCCCTTTACTGTATATGCCATGCATTTTATAATGCATGACCCAATATGTTAGCATCATTCCTCCCAACATCCCCCTCAAATCTTTTCCCTTTCCTTGAACTTTTAGCACGATACCATGCTGAATTGACGAATTAGATTTTTCAGTTTATGGCAAACTTTTCAGAATCTTTGAGGGAGGGATGGGGTGCCACATCTTGCACAGCTAGTAAGAAACGAAAAAACAATATGATTCGCCATCTTTTATGAAATAGCTTGGAATGGGACCATTATTGCGTGACTTTTCCATAAGGCCTTTCTGGGTTTCAAAGACAATATATATATGGTTGGTGGGGGGTTGTGCTAGCTGTAGCTGGTACAGCAAGTGTGAATTAAGAGAGGTAGATATATGAATTTTTCCTCTAGAGAATCAACGTCAACATACATTATATTATGTGTGTGTGGACGAATTTATATACGTCTCATTCACCTTTTTTCACAAACCAATAATGTTAGAGAGAGGTGGAGGAAGATCACATCATGTGGGTCGGTGATATACAACCTCAGCAGCAAGTGCTATCTTAAAAGAATGGTTGGTTTGTTTGCAAGTACATCAAAAGAAAGAAAGAAGGGAAGTTACAGTGCTGGGATAAATTTTGTCTTAGATATGAACTTTCTGCGAAGCCCATAGTTGGGTATAGACAATCAAAAAGAGTTATAATTTGGGAAGATTTTTGAATACTTGAATGAATGAAAGTAATGTAAACTGTTTGTCCATGTTTTGGAAGGAAAATGAGTCGAAAGAGAGTCCTTAAAATAAGGGGTAAGTGCGTATTAAATTGAGAGTATGAAATAATATAAAAAGTCATGAAATCGTTAACATTTTAAATAAAATTTTACTTTAGAATATTTCAATTGAAAAAATTGACTAGTTTTTTATTTGAATGTTTATGTGAAAATTTTAAAAAAAACTTATTTTAGAGTTAAAAACAAAATAATTTAACAAATTAACACATAACATTCATTTATTTAATATTTTTTATTTAAATCACAAATATTGTCTATTTTTTTATCATTTTGAAGTTTAACTATTTCTATTCTATTAACAAAATTTACACTTAAAATAATATATTTAGCTAAAGTAATTTTTTATCAGTTAATTTATATGTTTGATAATTTTTTTATTTTTAAATAAAAGTTTATTATTATTACACTCCTTTAAATATATTTATTCTTATTCTTTAAATTTATAGCATAATACAAATTTCACTCTTTAATGATTTTACTCATTTTTTAATAAATCTCAAGTACTTGTGAAGCGTATTTCACATAATTTGTTACTCACCCAAAAATCTAAAAAGTGATTTATAACAATACCTACTTGAGTGGCACAAAAGGTGGGTCCCTCACTGATGCTTGGTTGGAATAAAAACGCCAATTGAAGGCCCGCTTATATCATATGTGCATGTGCTCAACGTTGCATTAACGCCGTTGTAGACGACAAATGGGGAACCGTTAGCAGAACATCACATGCCAAAGCCCAATCTTTGACTGCTCTTTTCCTCCCTATTTTTTATATATCTATAAAATGGATAAAATATTAAACAATAATAAAGATTAATTGATAAAATATTATTTTAGTGATAAGTTTTAAATATTATATTATGTTTAATATTGATAGAACAAAATTTGAAATGATTATTCAAAATTATAATATTACATAACCTTTCTATCAATGTGTTTTCTTAAAAAATTGTTTGCTTCAAATGTTTATAATGAAAGTAAGAAGATATATAATATCGTAATCGTAAAATTAGATGATTGAGTTTATTTTTCTTCACTCACAATTAACTTTCTCCTATTTTCTATAATTTATCATATTCATCTATAAAAACAGAATAAACAATACGAAGAGATACTAAAAAAACTCTAACAAAAAGTTTAAAAGTACAAAATATATATAGTTATATTTATAAATTATAATTTTATCATTAAAAATAATTGTAAATAAATAAATAAATAACAAATTAAGTGAAAACCTGAACAGCATTTCTTGTTTACTGGCCAAACAGATAGTAAAAGTAAGGAAAGGAGGAAAAGTATTGACATATGAAAAGTTATGATTTACGCCTTTCTTTTATAACTTAGTTTTGACTGTAATAAATTTCATTTTTTTTTATCACAATTGAAATTAATTTGATTACAATATACACTAACGTAGTTAATTTTATACCTTATAATTACAAAATAAGACGATTGAATTAAAATTATTTGATAAATACAGTTAAAATGGGTTAAATGTTTAAAAATGATACATAATTATTAATTAAGTGGAAAATATTAAACTTTAAAGATAAAAAAATTAATTTATTAATAAATAATTTTTCAAAATTAAAAATTATTTTAAGTAGTTTTGTAAAAGTTACAAATTTACTTTGTTTTGAGTGTGTTTAATAATGCAAGTTTGTAGTTTATTGACTTTATCATTAAATTAATTAACACAGTTGTTTGATAAATAAAAAAATTTACAGCTTATAAAAAATTACTTAAAGTAACTTCTTATTTTTAAAACTTATCTACTAGTAATTATTTATCATTCTTATTTTTACTTCAAAAACAAATGAGAATTTTTTTAAATTTTTATCATCTAAATGATTTGTTGATGTTGATTAATTAGTTAATTAATTAAAATAACTGAGAATAAAATAAATAAAATTGATTTCTAATATTATATTAATTATTATATATTTTTCAGTCAGTTAACATATTTTAACTAATTATACAATAGTCATGTTAAATAACTCTAATTCAATTCAGTAACAATACAAGTATAAGTTTTCAGTTAAATTTATAAATTGTAAATTCTCAAAAATTGGCTTATTTTATAGAATAAAATTATTGTGTTCTTTAAAAAATTTTATTAGTAATTAGGAATAGTAAACTACAAGCTTATGACATCAAAGACACTCAATATCTGTCCTTATTTAATTTTTAAACGACAGAAATTTACTAGAAACTCTTAAAGAAAAATCATCCTGATTTAACCAATGTTTTATTTATTTTTGTTTAGTATGGGGTAAAATGTAGTTTTCTAATTGTAATAATGATCTTAACTTGTGCTAAATCTCAATTGCATTTTGAGGGCAAGGTTGGGCATCTCCCCTCAAAGTGACCCACCACCAAAACTATATTCTTTAAGACACCTCTTTCTAACCAAACACCTTTTCTATCATCTTGCGTCATCAAGTTCAATATTACTAATATGGGGAAGGATCCCACCATGAATGATACACAATCAGAAATATATTTTATCACATAATAAACAATAAAAACAACATGAATTATTTTTATCTAAAAAAACTGTATAATAAAGTTAGATTAGTATAATTTTAACTCTAATTAGAGAACAACACCAACATTATGGATGATACTGTACTTGATTTTTGTCATTAATCTTATCTAAAAAATAAATCAAGTTATGTACTTAAAATTCTTTAAAAAAAATAATTGAGAAGACTTTTAAAAAAAGTGAGAATCATAAATCTATTTTAATTTTGAAGAATACTAGCAGTATATATTATTTTAAATATATTCTTTGACATATTTGTGTGATTGATTATTTTAAAAAGTCAAAATATTTATCTTTTGAATTTACTTTTTAAAAAAATTATCTTTATATTTAAAAAACTAACTAATCATGAAAGTTGTGCTAAAGGAATATATTTAACAGACTGTTATATAATATTTTTTAACTTAAACAAATTTAATTTGTTCATTTTATTTTCTTATAAGTAATTATTAAAAATTTATCTAAACTGTGTCCAGAATATTGTGTATAATGTATACTTGAAGACAAATATTAGATTTGTGTTATGTTTAATACTGTCTAAGTTTTGAAAACAAGTCTCCGCATATCTCCTAAACTTTGAAATTGAATGTTTAATATTATACTACTCTTCGTATTAACTCAATCATTTTCTCTCTGAATGTGACATAATATGTGCATGATGAAAAGGAATAGATATATAAAGATACCTTTTTAATTAAATTACAAATTTGATATTTGATGTGATATGCTCTTTATTTTTCTCACAGTAGCTTCCCATATTGTCGGTTTTGTAGAAAGTTTATGCGAGAGGAAAAAGATGGCCACGAATCCTAGTCCAACACAGCTGGGGGAGGGGGGAGACTTTAATAATATCATTAATCAAATTAAATACGCATATATCAGTAATCAGATTATAATCTTATAAAATTAATATTTGCTTTACTTTTTAAACGCTGTCATTGATGATTAATATAACTGTTATTCCAGCGTTTTTAATCCTTTTGTCATCTTCAAAGGAACGTCATTGACTGAGAAAAAGTGTTTTCTAGCTGAAAAAAATAAATAAATTTAAATTTAACTGTAAGATAAATCTTGAAAAATTCGAGAGATTATATTTAATTCAAGGTTTTAGAACAATTGTACTAAAAAAATAAGCGATCGAAAACTCAGTGTAAAATTGGTTAAAAGCTCAGGAAGATTTTATTTTACGAAAAAAATAAAAAAGAAGAAAATCGATCACTGCTCTTAATAATGCAAAACATATAAAATGAATCATATAATAAAATATTTACAACAATCGAGGGAGGGGAATTCACAGCAAGAAAAGAAGCGAGAAACACGGGTAAGGAAAAAACCAAAGGGTATATTAGTCATTTTGCGTACCTAATTAGTAAACTTAAATATTGACAATAACGATGAAAGACAGCGAAAAACCTGAAGAATACGTTTTCGATCCGTAAATAATCTAATTAACTGAGACATAATAATAGTATTTTAATGCATAATCCCATCATCACTGGGGTTGAGTGCATTGAGTTTGGATGGCATATGCACTTATTATTTCAACAATTCTAAGTCTAAAACGTACTAATAATCTTCTCAAAACAAGAGAAATTATCAAAAGCACAAAACTAGTAACCTCTCTTTTTTCCCCCCACGCTCTGAAAAGCTTGTCCTTTTTACAGTTAACGAGTCACTGAGTGTCAGAACCAGCATAGCATGCCCAGAATATAATGCCAAGGACCCATCTCCTAGAGAGAGAAAACTGTGACTTTGAGCCTTACAGGTAGAGAGAGAAAATGGGGTAAGGTGTTCTGTTATCATTATCTCTGCTGCATATGAGGTACCCTTTGCCGGATTCATTGTTTTTGGGGGTGTGGCTGATGCAAAATAGAATAAAGTTTGGATCTTTTTGCTGGTTTCTTCATGCCCATTTGCTCAGTTCGATGATTTGGTGTCTCATTTGACTGGTTGGTAGACGTGGCGGAGCTGATCAGTGTTTGGTTCACTTTGTAAGTTCTTGATCTCGTAGCTAATTGAAGTTTCCATTTTTGCTGAGCATATCCAGTGTTTTTCTCATGACATGACTCACGAGCCATGCCTTTTCTTCCTTTTGATGTCACTATGTCTTGCTTTTTCCGTGCCTGTAGCCTTTTGTCACACACACACACACACACTTCTCTCTCTTCTCTTTAGTTCCATCATGTTCTATACAAATTTGATCAATGACCATTTTCCAATTTGCATGGTTCTACAAATGCTAGTGGCAGAGATTTCTTCTGCTGATTAACTTGGTAGTTTTTGGTCATTTGGTGCGTGTGATTTCTTCAGGATCTCTTGGTTTTTGCTATTTCTATCCAAAAAATAAAAAAGTAGAAGAATGAGATAGTTGTTTAATATATGTTCTTGGATTTTGGGAATCCAGTTCTACAATATGATTTTACCGTTCACTTTTTTTTTCTTTTTTTTGGGTGGGGGGGGTGTATATTTCATTCTGGTTTTTATTTATTTTTTTATTTGTTTTTTGACAGTTGTCCTGATTTTGAATTGTGGAGCTTCTGGAATAAGTTCCATATGCAATAAGATACTTGAGTTGTACCCAATTGAGCAGGTAACACAACATCCATGTTGAAAGAGTGTCAACTTTCATACAGATTTAAGCCACAAGAGTAAAGTTTGACTTCATGAATCTGAGTTATTCTTATTAATTAAATTACATTATACGCATTTATTTGATGTCAGGTAAAAAAGGAGGAGAAACAGACTAAAGAGTCTCAAATTAAACCAACATTGGTGGTGGAAATTTATAGGCTGATAGTCTGGCCTGGATCCAATATCAGGCTTTGGCCAAATCAAATCCAGCTTTGCTATTGTTCTTTGCTGGAGTTATGGCGACCTTGTTACACTCTGAGTCCAGGCGCTTATATTCTTGGTGGTGGGACAGTCACATTAGCCCAAAAAATTCAAAATGGCTTCAGGAAAATCTTACAGGTTGGTCTTTTTCCTCTACATCTTCAATGTCTACTGTTGTGCTAGATGAATCTGGATAAATTGCTTGGTGCATACATTTCATTTTGTTGTGCTCACTAACTTGTGGCTCATTTTCTTAAGCCTTGGTCATCAAAATACATTCATTTACAGTAACAAAATTCATAAAAATCCATGGCCCAGTAACCTTTAAGTGACATTATTAAGTGTTTCTATTTTATACAGACATGGATGCCAAGGTAAAAGCAATGATCAAGCTTATTGAAGAGGATGCAGACTCATTTGCAAGGAGGGCAGAGATGTACTATAAGAAACGACCAGAACTCATGAAGTTAGTTGAGGAGTTCTACCGAGCATATCGTGCATTAGCTGAGAGATATGATCATGCAACGGTGGAGCTACGCCAGGCCCATAAAACCATGGCAGAAGCATTTCCCAACCAAGAACATTACTTGCTGAGTGATGATTCACCAAGCAGTTCTTCAGGCCGTGAAGCTGAACCACACACCCCAGAAATGCCACATCCAATCCGTGCATTGCTGGAGTCAGTTGACCTACAGAAAGATGCATTTGGGTTTTCTTCAATCCAAAATAATTTAAAAAGGAATGGAGGGAGTTTAGAAGGATCTGACAACAGTCTAAGCCAAAAGGGACTAAAGCAGCTGAATGAGATTTTTGGGTTCTCTCAGTTATCAGCTGAAAAACAGAATGTGAAGTCCCAGAACCTTTCTGAGTCTGAGCATGCAGGGAGAGAAGAAAGTGAAGTTCAAACCTTAAGGAAAGCTCTGGCAGATATACAGTCTGACAAGGATTCTATCTATCTTCAGTATCAGAAGAGTTTGGAGAAGTTGTCTGAAATGGAAAAAGAGCTTAATAAAGCACAAAAAGATGCTGGAGGCCTTGATGAACGAGCAAGCAAAGCTGAAATTGAAATCAAAATATTGAAGGAAGCCCTAGCAGAGCTTAAATCTGAGAAGGATGCTGGTTTGGTTCAGTACAACCTATGTCTGAAAAGGATAACTAGCTTGGAGGGTATGATATCTCTGGCCCAGCTGGATGCAAAGGGAAATGATGAGAGGGCTTCTAAAGCTGAAACTGAAGCTAAAAATCTTAAGCAAGAACTTGCTACGTTAGAGGCTGAGAAGGATGCTGGTCTTCTTCAATATAAACAATGTCTTGAAAAAATCTCTGTTCTGGAGGCCAAGATTACCCTTGCTGAGGAGAATTCCAGGATGCTAAATGAGCAAATTGAAAAATCAGAGCTGGAAGTTAAATCACTAAGGAAAAATCTTGCTGAACTGAGTGAAGAGAAAGAAGCTGTAGCTGTCCAGTACAAGCTGTGCTTGCAGAAAATATCTACATTGGAGAGTGAAATTTTGCAAGCCCAAGAAATGTCTGAACGGTTGAATAGAGAAATTGAGATTGGTGCTGAAAAACTGAAGATTGCTGAAAAACATTGTGATATATTGGAGAAATCAAATCGATCTCTTCAGCTAGAGGCTGATGATCTATTGCAGAAGATTTCTATGAAAGATCAAAAGCTTCTAGAGAAGCATACTGAGTTAGAGAGATTGCAGACACTGATGCATGAGGAACATTCTCGTTTTCTTCAAATTGAATCTACTCTCCATACTCTGCAGAAGTCGTACTCTCAATCGCAAGAGGAGCAAAGATCTCTTGCTTTGGAGCTTAAACACGGCCTTCAGCTGTTGGAGGATTTAGAGCTTTCCAAACATGGTTTTAAGGAAGAAATGCAACAGATTGTGGAAGAAAACAGGACTTTGCATGAACTTAACTTCTCTTCCACTTGGTCATTAAAAAATCAGCAAATGGAAATCTCCAAGTTGAAGGAGATCAAAGAGAAACTTGAATGGGAGTTTGCTGTTAAAGTTGATGAAAGTAATTTCCTCCAACAAGAATCATGTCAAATAAAGGATGAAATCCAGGATTTGAATAATAGATATCAGGCCATACTGGAAGAACTAGGCTCTGTAGGTTTGAATCCTAAATCTTTTGCAGCATCTGTGAAGGATTTACAGAAGGAGAAGTCAATCCTAAAAGAGGTGTGCAAAATGGAGAAAGATGAAAAAGAAGCTCTCCTTGAAAAATCTAGAGATATGGATAAGCTATTGAGTGAAAATGCCTTTATGAAATCTTCCCTGTCAAGTTTGAATGATGAGCTGGATGGATTAAGGGATACAGTGAAGAAATTTCAAGAGTCCTGCCGTGTCTTGCAGGAAGAAAAATCCATTCTTGTTGCTGAAAAATCAGCTTTGCTTTTACAGTTACAAATTATCACTGAAAGTATGCAGAAACTATTGGAAAAGAATACCTTGCTGGAGAAATCCCTTTCTGATTCAAAAATCGATCTTGAAGGTTTACGGGCTAAATCAAGTAGCTTGGAAGAATTTTGCAATTTGCTAAATAATGAGAAGCACAATCTTCTGAATGAAAGAAGCATCCTGGTAGCTCAATTGGAGAGTGTTGAAGCAAAACTAGGTAACCTGGAAAAAAGGTTTACAAAATTAGAAGAAAAATATTCTGATATGGAGAGAGACGAAGAAAGCAGAGTCATTCAAGTAGAAGAACTTCGTGGTTTGCTTTTGGCACAAAAAGAAAAGCATACTAATCATAAACATTCAAGTGAAGCCCGAATGACAAATTTGGAGAATCTTATTTTTCGGCTACAGGAAGAACGACGATTGGGGAAAATTGAATTTGAAGAAGAACTTGATAAGGCTGTAAATGCTCAAGTTGAGATGTTTATTTTGCAAAAATGTATTGAAGACTTGGAGCAGAAGAACATGGGTTTATTAATTGAATGTCAAAAACATATTGAGGCATCAAAATTTTCTGATAAAGTTATCTCTGAGTTGGAGAGTGAAAACCTTATGCAACAGATGGAGCTAGAGTTCCTTTTAGATGAAATTAGAAAGTATAAAATGGGGATTCTTCAAGTGTTTGGGGCTCTTCAGGTTGATCCAAATGGAGGGCATGAGAAAGGGATCAAGCAAGAGGAAATGCCTATATTGCATATTTTGAATAATATTGAGGGACTGAAAGGTTCTCTTGTGAAAACCCAAGAAGAGAAGCAGCAGCTACTTGTGGAGAATTCTGTCCTACTAACTATACTTTTGCAACAAGAATCTGAGGGAGAAGAACTGGAGTCAAAGACAAGGATCCTAGAGCAAGAGTTTCAAATCACAAGAGAGGAGCATGCAATGCTGCAGAAGGTTAAGCTTGAACTTCTGGAGATTAACAGGCAACTGAGATCTGAAGTGACCAAGGGAGAAGAAAAGGAGAATGCATTACAGTCCAAATTGGAAGCTCTTCATGAGGAGTTGGTAGATTTGCAAAGAACTAGTCTAGTGTTTCAGGAAGAAAATTGTAAGCTAGTTGAGGAGAAAAACTCACTACTTGAGAGTGTTTTGGACCTCAAAGATGCAAAGATTGCTGCTGAACAAGAGAATGGTTTAATTCTGCATGAGGCACTGACTCTAAAAAACCTTAGCTTGGTTTATGAAAGCTTTTTAACTGAAAAGGTCTTGGAACAAAAAGCACTTGCTGAACATCTCAGCAATCTTCACTGCACAAACAGTGACCTCAAACAGGAGCTTGGTCTGTTAAGGAAGAAGTTTGAGTTGAAAGAAGCCGAGAATGTTTCTCTGAAGGAGTCAGTTAAGACTATGGACAATGATCTGCAGGAAGCCAAAAATGTAAATGACCATTTAAGTTATCAAATTGAAAATTCAGAGCATCTTCTTGTGAAGAAGAAAGCAGAACTGTTAGAAATGGAGGAAAGGCTAAAGGCTGCAGAAATGTTGAATGCAGAGTTTTGCAGAAATATTGAGAAATTGAAGATGGAACAGCAACAATCAAGACTGGTCAACGAAAATCTTGAGAAGCAAATTCTTGAACTATCAGAAGGTTGCCTGAATCACAAAAAAGAAATTGAAATCCTTAATGAAGCAAATAGAAGTTTACTGTCTGAGATGAGATCATTACGTCAGGAAGTTGAACAACAGAAGGATAGAGAAAAAACATTGAGCTCAGAGCTGCTGGATAAAACAAATGAATTTCAACTTTGGGAGGCTGAGGCTGCTACGTTCTATTTTGATCTTCAGATTTCATCCATTAGTGAAGCATTGTTGGAAAAAAAGGTTAATGAACTTACTGGAGTTTGCATGAAACTTGAAGGTGAAAGTTCTGCAAAAAGCTTGGAGATTAAGCAGATGACACAGAGAGTCAGCTTACTGGAAAGTGAAGTTGGAGGACTGAAGGGGCAGTTATCTGCATATACTCCAGTCATCAGTTCTTTGAAAGAGGATTTTACTTCTTTAGAGCACACTGTCCTTCGTCGAACAAATACAATGTCTGTTGTATGCAATCAAGAGCAAAAGGTAGTGTTCTATTTTGATTTATCACCCTGTACTGTTTTCTGTTATTTTTTCTCATTTGCTGTTGACGTAATTCTACTTATCCATTTTTATCCTGAATGTTTGTCCAGGATGAAGTGCTTGAAACTGGTCTCCAAGAAAATAGCTATCAAAGTTTAACTGAAAATAAAGGTATTTTAATACCAGATGGGGTTTCCGATTTGCTAAGCATGAAGGCAAGGATTAGAGCAGTTGAAAAGTCAATGGTGGAAGAAATTGAGAGGCTTGTCAAGGAAGAAAATCTAATCACTAAAGCTAATCCAAGAGGTCTGGCAAAGGTGCATAATGTGGAAGTTTCCCCATATATAGAGAATGACAAAAGAAAAGTACAGAATGTAATCAAGGATGAGAGCACAGGTGATCTCAACTCTTGGAGAACAAAATTTGAAAATGGGTCATTGATGAAAGATATTCCACTTGATCACATCTCAGACAATCCAGCCTCTAAGAGTAGCAGGAGAGAGAATAGCGGGACTGATGATCAGATGCTTGAATTATGGGAAACTGCTGAGCAGGACTGCTGTGATAGTTCAATGGTCAGTGAGGCAATGAAACAAAGTTCTGTTCCAACTGACGATGTTATGGCATCCCATCAGTCAGATAACTCGGGTAAATTCCAAAATACCTCTTCAGAATTGAATGTAGAAAAGGAATTGGGTGTTGACAGGCTTCAGTTGTCAAGAAGCATAAAAGAAAGAACTCAAGATGGCAAGAGGAGAAAGATATTGGAGAGGCTTGCTTCAGATTCTCAGAAATTAACCATTCTTAAAACAACCGTGCATGATTTGAAAATGAAAATGGAGACAAAGAAGAGAAGCAAGAAGGGAGATGACACTGATGAATATGAAACAGTTAAAAGACAAATAGAAGAAGTTGAGGGAGCTGTTGTGAAATTAGTAGATACTAATGATCAACTGACAAAAGATCTGGAAGAGAGTGCCCCGTCTTTGAACAGGGAGACTTCAGTTGAGTTGGAAAAGAATCGACACGCCCTGAGAAAAAGAGTGACAGAGCAGGCACGGAAAGGTTCTGAACAGATAGGACGATTGCAGTTTGAGGTGCAGAACATCCAATATGTTTTGCTGAAAATGGCTGATGAAAAGAAGAGCAAAGGGAAGAACAGATTCTCTGGAAAAACAGTGATCTTGCTGAGGGACTTCATTCATGGTGGGAAGAAAAGTAGCAAAAGGCGCAACAAAACAGGTTTTTGTGGATGCTCAAGGCCTTCAACTAATGAGGATTAAGTGAGAAAATCTAGAGTCATTTTGTTGTAAGTACTTGGGATGTGTCTAATCTAGCATATCAATTTTTAATTTTAGCTGCAAAAAATGCTGTTAGGCTTAGGCCTTATCTGATCATAGTAACTTATTTCAGATGTCTATGTTTTAGCTTGCAAAAAGACTTGTGCTTAATACGACATTTTAGCTAAGAAGTTGCGATGTCATGTTTGACGCTGTTTAAGCTATGAAAGCATGGAGCAAATACTCTATCATGAACTTCGTTCACAAAAAAAAATAAGATGGGGCATTATCAATTAGGACTCATACCGATTCTATCATATCGCTCCAATGTTTGCAAATGGAGGCACGTGTTTAAAAATTGGAAATATTTCGAAGAGCTGTGTTGCATGAACTTTGTTTCATTGGCTCAATTATTTCGAAGCAAACCATATTTGTAAAATCGCGTGTTGTGCTCTTTCCATTCACTGGAGGAAATATATTCCAAGAATCATTATTAAGAATAATCTCATACTAAAGCATGTTGAGAGAAAGATATAAAGTATATAATTAATAAGCATCGTTCTACAAATTTTGACGGGGCTCCACCTATTTCTCGTTTGTGTTTTCAGTTTTGATCTATTGTTAATTGAACATAGTAAGTTTTTTAAATATTGATTATGCTTTCATATGTTTAAAGTTATAAATATTTTTTAATAAAAAATTACTATTTTTATATATAAAATTTAATCACTAAGTTAAAAATTAACAAGATTGTATTATTATTATTATTATTATTATTATTTCTCAACGTTGAAATAAGAATATTCAGATTAAATTTTTAAAAATAACTTATAATTGACTTTTTTTTAAGACAGCTCTTTAAATGCAATTATTTCCTAAAACTCAAATAAATAAAAACTTACACCTAAACTTGTGAATACTAATAAAAATTGACCCACATGATTTAAAGATTTGTCAGTTTTTAGTGCTTTCAAAATTAATAATTCTTCATGCAATCAAATTAGAAAACCTGTCTATTCATAGTCAACCATGCCGGCTAGCAACTTATTCATAGTCAACCATGCCGGCTAGCAACTTAAAATAACCTAGTACATAGTTTTCTTGGTCTCCACGCAAATCCTTCATATAGTGGTTTCTTCAGCACATAATAAGTAGGGCTGCTTCCCTAGCAACAAGGTCTACCTAGTTGGTCACATAATCAAGCCTTGGATGCAGCCAAACCAAGCAGTACCCATGATGGAGGGAGATGCTATTTGTTCCACAACAAATGCCCCAGAAGAGGATGTTGATTTGAACCAAATATCTCTTCGACCCATAGATCTTTCTGATCTTGATGATGTCATGTTGTGGTCCACTGATGATAAAGTGGCCAAGTATTGCACTTGGGAACCTCACACTAGCAAAGAGGATGGAATTAACTTCATCCAAAACATAGCCAGCAAATCCCTATGGTTTAGAGCAATTTGCCTTCATAATCGTGCAATTGGGTGTATTGATTTGTTGTCAAGTTCGGGACAGCGTAGATGCAGGGACAAATCCGCTGAACTTGGCTATGCTTTAGGCTCCAGATACTGGGGTAAAGGGATTGCCACACAGGTTGTGAAACAAGTGGTTAAAGCCGCATTTAGCTATTTCCCACACTTGGAGAGGCTTGAAGCTCTAGTTGATGTGGAAAACGTGGGTTCTCAGAGGGTGCTGGAGAAGGCTGGTTTTCAAAGAGAGGGAATTCTCCGGAAATATGTGTTTGTTAAAGGAAAAAGTAGAGATATGGTCATGTTCAGTTTTCTTTCAAATGGTGCTCAATTTTGATTTGTTTATTTTGAACCATGGCAATTGTAGTGATGTGTCATTTGGAATGTGTAAGATTGTATGTTTGAATTGAAGCTACAACCGTCCCAACATCAATGTTAGTTTGCACGCTTCGCCTACAATCTTGTAGCTGACTTACGACAAATCGTATTTTGTAACGATGATACCAAATGTTTAATCAAAGAAATATTATCACACAAACAATAAATCAAAATCAAATTTTCATCTTTCAGAATAAAACTCATGCAATTTTCGACTAAACACGATAAATGAATCGTTCATCACCATCACTATTATGAATATGATTTAAAATTTATAAGGACTCCAGAATTCGTGTAAACCCCACTCATTGCATAAATTCAATAAATTTAATCTATGTTAAAGCGTATAGTTAACATGTAAGACCTATAAGCCCAACAAGAAAAAAACGATAACATCCTTAAATTATTTGAATGTCTTCTTAAATTTTGAAGTATAATGCTAAAATATCAAAATTACTCGCTAAATCATGAAACCATAACGTTACAAGCAATTCACAAGAAAACTTGAATTTTGGGTCTACTATACACACTAAACTCCTAGAATAGGAACTTGAAATGCACGAAACAACTAACATGTCGGCATTGTGGCAGGAAATACATTACAAAAAACACGTAAATATCGTAATAAGCATGCAAACCTGATAGTTCTGAAAAAAATCGATATATATATATTGCGAGCCAAAAAATGTGTACTGATTGTCACAACAAAACTGATTCACTGGGCTACACAGAAACATAGTACTTAAATTTAATTTTCAGTAATAACATAAGTAAGCAGGAAACCTATCACAAACTAAATTACATTATCACTAAATCAAGCTCCAACAATTTCAGTGGTTCCCTCTGCCATTGTTTCATCAACAGGTCTGTCTACCTTCGTACCAACATCTTCTGCGTAATCCCCATGAACCTACAAGAGGATCATACAGCAAAGGAATTAAACCAATGCACCGACCAAGTTATAAACACATGCATATGAAAGCAGCTTTTGGCATTTTCAAGCTAAAACAGCATTTAAAAAGTTACCTCCATCAGTTTCCCAAGATCAAACTTTGGAGCTTTAAGGATCTTGACTTTCCGAACAAACACATTCTGAAGAGGGTAAATACTTGATGTTGCCTTCTCGATCTCTTTTCCAATAATCTCAGGAATGAACTTGCGGACCAACTCCTTTAAATCACAGGAAGTTGCCTGGTTGGTCATAATCTCCCGCATCTTCCTACGAATCTGAAAGGGAAAGACATAATATTATTTACTAATATGCAATATTATAGAACATGGCATACTCCTTAATTCAAACCCACTATTTTCTTGTTATTTACCAGCACTTTATACAGAGAATGATAGCAAACGGCACATGCATCTAGGAAAAATTAGTGTATGTACCTGTCTAATCTGGCTAGATTGAGCATAACAGGTTCGCTTCACTTGGTTAGATCTTCTCTTGGTAAATCCAATGCAGAACAACCTCAATGTGTAATTATCGGTTGTCTTCACATCCACATGAGCTTCAATTAGAGTTTGCCATTTTCTCACCAATGACCTCAGCTTGTCAGTTGTGAAATCCATTCCCTGGAAATTAAAAGAAAACAAAATCAAATTGGTACGAATAATAATACAGGGCAACATTACAATCCAAAGAAGCTTCAGACACCTATCATACCCAGAAATTTGTGAGAACATTTTTTCCCTGAACATCTTCCGCCCTCAACCTAACCTTCCTGAATGCATGTTCCTCGTCCCCTTGAAGATCAGCCAAGGAAATCTCAAACACTCGATGTTTGAGTCCTTCCGAAGCAATCTGTTATTCAAAACAAGTACAGTCCATTTAACACAAATTTCACATTTTTAAGGGACATACAAGTGACCCACAATATAAAGCAAACACATTTTCATTCAAATGGAAATTCCAAGTACACAGTTGAATATTGAAAAGGAAAAAAGGGAGAGAAAACAATACCTTAGTACCCTGAGTACGAGTGACGAGGGTCTTGCCAACATTTTTGACCTGGAATACTGAAGGAGCCTTTATGTCATACCAATCCTTCTTCGCAAAGGGATCAGCTCTGGACATTCATACACAAAATTGAATCTCAATATTAAGAATACAAAAACATAAAAAAAAGTTGATAAAAATCGGGGAACACTGACGCTTTCTTCTTGCCACCCTTCTTGCCTTTGGAGATGCGCTTGTTCTTACCAACGGCCATTGCTCACTGCTTGCAGATAACACCAGTTGAGGGTGACGGCAAAGACTACAGCAGCAATAGCAACTGAAATTCCAAAACCCTAACCTCCTATATGCCTCTCTCTATTCTTATCTTCAACTCTGTTCGGTTGCCGCGCAACAACGTTCTAGGGTTTTTCTGAAACCAACATTACATGGGCTCCACTTTCGAATTGGGCTTTTTAAGATTAGTAGCCTTCGCGATGGTTTCTATTTCAAAATTTTAAAAATTAGGTTATATACGGGGAGAAATCATATCCAGTTATAAAGGTAAACAAATCTTTATTTCAATTTTTACATTTTGAGTTTTGTTAAGTGGCTTTACCCCCCCACTTAAACTGTAAAGATTTAATTATAAAAATTAAGGTTAATAAAAAATATTAGTCATAAAATATAGTGAAAATAAAATTTTGTGAAGCAATAAATAAAAATATAAATAATACCATTGTACATGTAGATTTAGATAAATAAATAAAAAATTTAGTTTTAGAAAATAGATTTAGAATACTAAATCAGTTACATAAATATAACTAATCAAAAAACTAATTTAACATAAATTTAGATTTTTAAAATCAGTTTAACATTAGTTATAAATTAAACATAAAATTAATTTTTTATCTAACTCTAATTTTACACGATAGACGAAAATATTTTATAAGCTACAAAGTATATCTCGTATAAAATATTATGGATGCTCTCGTTCAAATAAACTTATCATTTATAATAGTTTAGGGTTTAGAGAAAATATTATACATGTATTTTATACATGTGGTAGTAATTTATCTAATATTTTAAAAATTAAAAAATATTTATATATTTTAAAATAAAATAATAATTTTATTATCTAATAATATAAAAATAGTAATAATAATAATAATTGAGAATAAAATTAAAAAAAATACCTTCTAATACTTACATATTGAAAGCGTTGGGTAGAATTGTAATTTTAAACGTGGCTACTAAGAACAGCAACTCCCGAACAAAAAGCATTTAGTATGTAAAAAATTTGATTTGACTAAATCAACTCCAGTTTAATTTGTACAATCAAATTTAGCTTCAAAAGAGAAACACATCCCTCCAAAGAAGCATATAAGATGAAAAAGGATAAAGAGTCCAATTTGAAAAGCTTCAAAATTTAGGAGATGAAATAAATTAAGAAATTTTTATGAAATGAAAAAACAAGCTCAAGGAAAAAGGTTATATGTATGAAATGCAACGTTATAAATCGGCAAAAAGTTTAAAAGATTAAATATTAGCTAGTTCTAGGCTTGATCTTATAGAAGTTATACCAATCTAACTAGCCAGCCTTGACCATCAAGAGATATTACAAATAACTTTCAAAAAATACCTATTTTAGTGTAGGGAAATGGTCTAAAGTCAAGATTAGAGAAAGTTAGGAGTGGGGCCAGAATGTAAAGAAGGCCAAAAGGTGAGAAAATGTTCACATCTTTTGACATAATGCTTTGTTTGTCAAGCCTATACCCATTTGCATTTGCTATAATCATGGTTGGTAAAAATGCTAAAAAGCGAATATCATAGGCCTACTAGTCACTTGTTGTAGAAGCCAAAAGAAGTTTTTCCCCGTCTAAGTTACAAATTTCAGCATTTTTATCTAAGTTTCCTTTATTACAAATTTCAAATAAATCTTATTATCGAGAGGGAAAAAACAAGAAAGTTACATTTTTTTCACATAAGAACAAAGCTTTATTACAAATCGAAGAAACCTAGTGTTGAAAGAGAGTTTGCTAACAAAATTGAACAATCAGAATAGCAAATCCCTAAATTAGGTAAAAAAAAACCCTAATTTCATCGTTACCAAAAATGAACCTAAATTCAATTATAAGTATTTTGTCAATTTACTTTCAGAATCCCTCAAAACGACGTTATTTCATCTAACTAGACTTCTGACATAGTACTTGATGTGACATATCAACTTTCTATTACTATTTGTTAACGAAGTCTGCATTTATGAATTAAAATGAATGACGAAGATATAAGTTAAAAATTAACGTGTCATTTTTAATTTCTTAGAAACTAAAATGCCAGACTCCAAATATCTCAAAGACCAAAATGAAGATCTAGTCATTTAAAAAATATAGATTTTTAAATGTATAATTTTTATATTTTAAATATTTATGAAAAAATTAATGTTTTTAATTCACTTTTTCTATTTTTACTTTAAAAATAATTTTCTCATTTGATATTATTTATTTCTTTCTTTCTTCTCTTTTCTTCTTTTTTTTTCTCTCTCTCTATATTTTATTATTATTTGAAAAAAATTTAAAATTAATAATTTACACTAAAGTAAAAATATTCTTTAAATTCAAATATTAATTATAAAATTATATTTATATATTCTTAAACAAATAAATAAAAATTTTAAGAACAATATGTTAGGAGCAAAATTTTATATTATTTGATTTGATTCACTCTTTGATGTTAATCATTTTTCTTTTAAACATCATTTAAGAATAAAATCACACAAATAAAAAATTAAATCAATATATGTATTTACTTGTATTTTTTTTCCATTAATATATAGTTTTACTTATAATCTATAATTATTATTGGTATGTTAAAACACTAGCAAAATTTGTGAGATGATAAATGCATGAGAATAAATGAAGGGTTAAAGATAAGACATCACTCTAGAAGTGAACAAACCTATATAGTCCAAATTCAAATAAGGCAGAGATACAAATGAGCTATATCAAAATAAGAGAAAGGGATACACAATTCAAGACTTAATTTGGCTAGTCTATCAGCACAAAAACTGGCCTCTCTATATGCATGGGTGAATCTAATAAATTTAATCTTCTTAAGTAGATGCTTAATGCTATGAATCAAATGATATAGAGGATGAAAATAATTTTGAACGATAAAAACAAGAGATATCGCTTGTTTGAAATCACCTTCAATCTAAATGGTAGAGATATTATTTTAAATAACAAGTTAGAGACTCAGAAACATATCCCACAATTTTGCTTCAACGGAGAATATGCTTTCAAACTAGAGTAAAATCTAGTCACAAGTTATTTTTTGTCATTATAGATAAGGCCACCACAACTAGCAGTGCTAAAATTTGAAGAGATAACACTAATAATATTAAGCTTAAGCTGCTGGAAAGGAAGAAGATTCTATTTAATCTGATGCTAGTCATCAATAATAGTGAAAATCGCCTTAAATTTGTTCCAAAGAATTTAACCATTAATAACGTTGAGTTTGATTTTAATTATATTTTTTCAACAAGTTAAATTTTATGATAAGTGTGCGAATAAATGATTGAAACTACTAACACTATTTCAAACTTTTAAAATTATTTGTGAATAACAAAAAAAAAACCACATTAAAATATTATATGAAAAGAAAATAACAAAAATTTTACCAGCAAAACCTCCAGCCACGTGACATACAATCATTTATGTGTAAATGTCAAAAATATTTTAAAAATGTTAAAAATATTGTTTTTTAATAGTATAATATTGGATTAGTCATTATTAATTAATATAATTTTTATCATAAAATAAATTATTACTATATTTTGAGTTTTGTACTAATAATAGTATATATATTAAACAATCAAATAATTCTGTTAGTGTGAGCATTAGCATTAATTTACAAATGTTAGTACATTATATTATCTGTTAGTATTGACTTTCAAAATTTTTATTAATAATTTTTTATCATACAAAAATTATATTCATAAAAATTATCTTTTACAATTTTATGTTTGCTAGTAAAAGATGTACTGAAAGAATTAATATTCTCAATCAAATTTTATCGTGACACTTTTAATTAATTATAGACAACAACTTACTTTTGTATTTGTTGTCTTTATTGATAACTCTGGAAAAATAATAATTACTCAAAATTTAAAGGGATCAGGATAAGTGTAAAAAGATTATAATAAATATACCAAGAATATCATATTCCTGGGAAATACACAGGAAGAAAGTGACTTATTGTACATTTCTTAGGAAAACAGCCTTAGAAATATTTAAGTGTTGGGTTATAGACATATTTCACGTATTCAATTTAAATTATGGCATATTAGAATTAGTACACTTAAATATATATACATAAAAAAATGTGACAATTAACTAATACTGAATGATAAGGACTTCCCATCCGACATTCATATACATGGTTGTCATTGACCAGGCAAGTGACGAATTTGTTTGAATAGCAAAAATATTAATTTTGAACATCTAAAACGATGGCTTGGACAATCACGAATATTCCATTCTCCATCGTTTTCTCCATTTTTCCATTGCCCAATTGATATTTATTATTACGGCGACGAACAAACATGGAAACCAACTATATAGTTCTACTTTCTTCACTTTATAATAATAGATTATCATTTATTAATCCATAAGATTGTTTTTAAAAAAACTACAAATAAAATGTTTGTTTCAATTTTTTAGTATGTTTTTTCTACTTTTAATATAACAAGTGTTTTCTTTTTAAAGAAAAGCTTTTTATTTATAATTACTTATAATATATATATATATATATATATATATATATATATATATATATAATAACCCAAATATTCTCAAAACAAGCCTCCAACAATGAATTGAACGGTGGAAATAGCAAATTTCCACCCGGTTTAATCTTTACAAGGTAAAGTTATGACCACCAAAGAAAACTAACTCTAAGTATGTTCACTCAGCTGGTATAATCATATCTCCAAAAAAAAAAAAAAAAGAAGACAAATTCAGAAAATTAAATTAAAATATTACAAACTCTTATTTCTGCCATGCCTTCAGGGATAGTGGTAGTAAGCCGCCGGTGGAGGAGGTGGTGGCGGTGGAGGTGGTGGTGGAGGAGGAGGAGGCGGAGGTGGTGGTGGTGGAGGAGGAGGCGGAGGTGGAGGCGGCGGTGCAGTTCTAAAGGAACAACCAAAGGCATTACAATCAACAGGATGTGCATAAAAAGCAGCACAATCCTGAGGTGACCTTTGCAAAGGCCTATAAGGAATACAATTCTTGGTATCATCTTTATCTTTCAACTTGAGACACACTTGTGATTCACTACAGAAGTAGTTATACGAGTACGTGAAATTCTCCAACCTTGGCAACATACATATACTCTCAGGAACCGTGCCAGACAACATGTTATGCGCCACATTTAGCTGCTCCAAACTTTTCATTCCTCCCATGGACTCAGGCAACTCTCCAACCAACTCATTGAAGCTCACATCAAACACTGTCAGTTTGTCCAAAGACCCTATCTCTGGTGGCAAACAACCCTTTAATCCACTATTCGTGATGATTATCTCGTTAAGGGTATTCTTCATTTTGGCTAAACTCGATGGAAGACAACCCTTTAGATCATTGTTTGCAAACACAACCACAGAAACAGTACTGTTCCCGAAGTTTTCAGGTATAGAGAATTGAAAGTTGTTGTTGTTGATGAAAAGGGCGTCGAGCTTAAGGTCAAAGAGGCTCGAGGGAACATTGCCTTCGAACTTGTTGAATCTGATATCCAAGAATTTTAGTGAAGGGAGGCAAAGAACAACTTCAGGGAATGGTCCTGAGAATTTGTTGTTGCTTATGTCTAGCTCATAGAGAAGGTGAAGTTGGTCAAAGCTATTGGGAAGGTAACCACAAAAACGGTTGGAGTTTATGTGGAAAAGGGCAAGGTCGGTTAAGAGGCCAAGTTCTTCCGGTAATGAACCAGCTATGTTTGCATGGTTTAGGTCTATTCCAGCAACTGTGTAGATGTAAGGATCATCTGGGGCTGGTGCACAATAGACGCCAGTGTAGTTGCAAACATTAGGGCCACACCAGTTGGAGGTGAGGTTTTTGGGGTCAGAAGTGAATGTGTGTTTCCATGCTTGGAGAGCTGTGTAGGCTTTGGAGAGCCTTGGGTTTAGTGGGGGCAGAGGGGAAGGGTGTTCAGATTGGTGTGAGGGGTTGATGATGGAGATAAGAATGACAAAGAGGGAGACTCGGAATAGTGTAATGAGATAAGGGCCCTCTCTTTTGGGGGAATTAGAGGCCATTAATGATGATTATTTTGGTCTATTTTGGTTGGTTGTTTACATGGGAACTTAGATTTATATATATGAAGGTGTTGGGGAAATTTCGAAAGTTTGGTGAGATGCAAATTGACATTACTCTTATAAATAATGGGTAATTCTTTTGGCTAATTAGACATATAAATGGACTACAACGTTACATCTAAACAGCTTTTGATAAATTAGGATAGTGACGAATGTGACTTTGACATAGACATATTTGCTTCTTATAAATTTTTTTATTTCCGGCCCCCTCCCCTATTTGATTTTTGCTCCGTCCTTTTTTCTATTTTATATATTTAAAGTTTGTTTACCAATGCTTCTAATCTTCTATATATTCAACTCACTCAAATTATACATAAATTAGATTCAAATGGCCTTTACTGGATTATTCGTCATTTAAAAGGTCTTAAATTTTAATTTAAGCTACACGAATGGTTTTAGAGTTCCCGTGGATCTTTCTTTTTACGGTGATTTTTATACAACTTTTTAGAATTTGTTATATTAATTCTTATTTTTAATTCAAGAAAAATTTTACGAAAATAGATCATTGTAATTTTTTTTATCTATATTACATATGTATCTTTTATTTAAACAATTTTATTTAAGTATATACACAGTATAATAAAGTTAACCTTTTTTTTTTTGTAAAATTGTTTTCATATTCAAACTTGGAACCTAAAATCTTATTTAATAAGAACAAAATATATACACCTAAACCAACTGTTTGTTGGTATTTGACAAAAAAAATCATTAACTATTTTAAACATATTCTCTTATTAAAGAAACATCTAAGGACTCCTTTAAGTTAAGTTTGAATATCTAATAATATATACATGGGATGAAATCAAATGAGAAAAGAAAATAAATTAATCATATCATTATTTATATTTTTATGATGAAATAAAGCAAAAAAATCATTTGAAAAATATACAAAATAATAAAGAGATTAATAAATTGTAAATTCATTCTATTTCAAAAATACATTTAGCTGGGAAAGAAAAATAAAAATGTTAGATCCATTTTTTGCATTTAAGATTTTGTAATTATAATTTTTGGAGGTTAAGATTGAGTAAATCACTGACTATTCTCTACCGTTATTTAGAGTATATTTGTTTTTCTTTTTAAAAATAAAATGTTACTGTTTTTTTTTTCTTTTTCTGTCTTCTAAATTTATTGAACGGTGGATCCTACACGCCAATATGAAAAAAAAAAACGCCACTGTATAATTGTAGATGCTATAAAGAATTGAAACAAATTGCTCTTTTTCTTATTCTGTTTACACATAGTTTTAGTAGAACATGCAAATTGGCAATGAACTGGCATGCATTTTAAACGATATCAATGCTGATGTTTGTTGCAATTGGTGGCTGATCTCACCAAAAACACGGTTTTTACCGTATTTTGCTTATGTTTATAAGCAAATTTATAAGTTAATTTATTCTTTTTGAGTATAAAACCACTGTTAGCGAATTGACTTTCATGTATATTCTCCGTTGCATTGGATTGACCTAGCAAATGGCCATAATTTCACATTCGGTGAGGGATTATTAATTGCCTCTACAATGCCATTTCTAAATAATTAAGAAAAATGCCCTCATTAAGTCAAACTTAATTTAATTCTCGCGCTATGCGCATATTTATTAATTTAATTTTATTATAATAATTTTTATTAAAAATTATTACAGAAATATAATCATATTGTTAATTAATTTAAAAATTATATATTTAAATAATAAATTATAAGTTTAATTAAAATTTTAGATTATTATATTTGTAAATGATTGATTTTTAAAACAATATTTTTTAAATCATATTTATTATATTATTTGTTTCATAGTGTAAAAAAATTGTTTTAATAACACATTAGAATTATATTTATAAATTATTTAATATTTATTTTAAAAATGTTTATAAAATTAACTTTATAATATAAAAATAAACACAAATGTTTAAAAGACTATCTTCTTTCTTTCATAAATTGTAATGTAATATTATATTAATATTTATATGTATGATACTTGAATAATACAAATTATAATTAAAAATTTTAAAAATACAAAAAAAGCAGATAAAATAGTAATCAAAATCAAACTCAAAATTGAGCTTTAATTTTGCAATTTGAAGAATGGAAATAGAAACTTCCTTCTTATATATATATATATATATATATATATATATATATTACAATATAATCAATTTCTTGCAATGTTAATTAACTGAAGTGTAAATCATTAAAAGGGTAAAAAATTGATTTTTGATTCCAAATTGGAGTCCGGGTTAACAAGGACACGTTTAACAAAACCAACAAATCATATTCCTGTTATAAATAAATGGACTTTCTACGAGCAATGAAATCTCACAGAATCCTCGTGATACAGTGTTCGACACAATATGAACCAAAAGTCAACAAATGTTTATGCTGTGTCCGAAAGCAAACTACATGAAGTTGAAAGGCAACAATTTAGATCGTTATGAAGTCCAATTAACATTCTTCAATTCCATACGTCCCTGTTATTGAAAGCATCTTTCAGTCTTTTCATTTCTTCTTCTAGCAAATTAGAGTAGCACTTGCTACATTTGTTGCCATGTTATATTCAATGTGTCACTTAATGTAATTCTAGTGGCATAGAGGTGCCGTTAACAAAAATTTTATATAACTCAGTTTCTTTCATAATCACAGTGAAATTAATGAAGCAAAGTCTTCATAATGAGTTAGACTTACGACGGTGGAGTAGGTAATAAGATTCAAGATCAGGAAAAGTTTAGCTACACGGTCTATTCAAGTATGCTTCAAATTTAAGAATAAAAAAAAAATCCTACAAGGAAATCATTTTCTTGTGATATGAAACCTGCTTAATTTTATCCCCCACTTGTAATATAAAACTTATCATAAAGGATAGAGAGCCGATCAAAGTCAAAATCCACAAGATAGTCAAGGAAGATATCACTTCTAATCGTTTTATTTTATTAAGAATAAAAGGGATAGAAGAAAAAAGATAAACACTAATGAGCCAATTATATAATACAGTCAAATTTGTACATGTACTATATGAAGATTGCAGCGCTTAAGACATATATGATGTCGAATTGCCATCCTTCATCTTAAATAATATTTTCTTAAAAAATATTAGTTCATGTAATATAACAAGTTCTGTTTTAATTATCGTAATTATCTATTTTTTAAAAACTTCTTTTTTGTTCTTATCGTTAACTATTAAACAGTTGATGATGTAGTAATAGATGCCCAACAAATTTTATCCCGCGTAACCTATCATAGATGTAAAAAAAAGGCAAATAAGCAATTAACTTGGGAAAATATAGAAATGATCTTCCTTCTTATCAAGGAATAGAACATATAATTTTTAATATCAAAACAATATTTTTTAAAAAAAACTAAAATAAAAAAAATTTTAAAATATATTTATCGTTGTTTTCTATGCATGAAGACAGAAGAGACCAATGTATAAAGCGTAACGATGTTATTGTTTAGAGAAAGGTAGATATCTGGGTAATATATAAAGCATTTATATAGTTTTGCACAAACAAAGAGGAGATTACAAGGGAAATAATAAAAAACCTGGCGTACAGTGATGTTGGTTTTCTAGAATGTCCCTTCATTGAAGTCAATGTATCATAACCAAACGACTTAGACTAAGTAAAACACAAACTAGACGACGTCACCTATATCATTAAGACGAAATTTAAATAACTAATAATAACAAAAAAAATTAAAAAATAATTTATTTATTTTACTTTACTTTCATAATTTAGTATAATAAAATTATTTTTTAATATTTAAATTCATTTTTAAAATCAAAGTTAAAATAAGATCATAATTTTAAAGAGTTTTATTATATTAAACACTAAAAATTGACTCACAAAAAAAATTTAGTGATTTTTTTATCTGTTGTATGCATTCGTCCCAAAAATACAAAAAAAGAAAAACAAAAAAACTTAAAGATGTCTTTTCTAAATGTTTAAAAAACATTACCCACTTACGAAAGTTACGAAGTTCGGTGAACATAAGGTTGTCGTCGTCCGAGTAGGCGGAAAAATTAATAAGAAAAATGAAATTAAGATAGGAAGTGAATAAAGTAGGATGGAAAGGTTTTGATTTTACAAGTTGTTAGTCTTTTCTTTTGACTTAATTTTAACAAGTTATTAGTTGGTAGATAGGATAAGAATTTTTCAATTCGCATTTTTGTTATACACTGGAATTGTCATCCAAATATTTTGAGCTGACTATGAATAAATTGCAAACATAAGAGCAGTTCAGATCAGCAAGAAACATAACATTTACTAATGTTTAAATCATGCATTTCATGCTACCAGCTACCAGATTTTTAAAACCTTAAAAAATTGTATTGAGCTGTAGTTCATGCAATGTGAGTGTAAATTTTAACTAATCGACGATTTATAATCCTTTTCACATGGCCCATATGGCCATTTGATAATTCATACAAAATTTTCTATATTTTTATAAAAACCTCTCGAATCTAAATCTGGAGAATGTCCAGTTGCAACTAATATTATACTAGCAAGTGTGCATATTTTGCTGTAACGAAGACTTAACCGAAGTAAGATGAGTTACCAGTTGTGTTAAACGTGGCTAAATGTTATCAACTTCTGTAAAACATCTCACAGATTCCGGGAAATTGCATCGGTTGAGCAATGGGGGTTTTGACTTTTGAGTCTTTTGACACCTGTTACCCCACTTGTCTCATAATTTAAATTTTGATTAGATTGTCTAACCTGTCTAATGTGTAGACAAAAATGTGTACACCTCGTATCTTTATTCCATCAACTTATGATGTATATATCACGTCTAATTAATATCTAATGCACTTCATTATACTATGAGGTCATTAATTGGTTATGCAAATGAGCAGCTTGAAGCTGCTTGTTGCCACTACCTATACTAATGTAAGATAAATCCATTGTTGACCAATGGTTTAAGACTCTTAATCAGCAATTTTAATGACTTCATCAAGCATGTTGGTACTACTTACATCAACTGTCAATGCAATTAACGGCTGAGAAGTGGTAAATCAAGCTCGAAATCGATACATAAACCATCTGGGTGTTTTAAAGATCAATGTGTAAGAATTCAATGGCCTTCAAGAATTATTATCACGAGTATCATTAATGACCACAGAAATACGCACTATGACATTTATTTTACCCAATAAAGAAGAAGAGGAAGAAAACACTATTACTCGAGGCTGCCAAATTCTCGTGAATTTATTGATGCCACAAAGCCGTGATGGAGAAGATCTCAGCGGTGACATTTTCACTGCATAGGATCATAACCATTAAAATTATATAATTTTTCTTATGAATAATAATATAATTATGGGTTAAAATTGTGAATGGATATTTAACATAATTACATGCGTTGTCTTTATAGTTACTTAACGGGGGGGTGTCTCTAAATTGAAGAGCTCAAGAATAATTCGCACTCTCGTTCGCGAGTTCGGTATTAAGGGTGTTCTTGGTATGTGCAATGATTAAAAAAAAAAGCGAGAAGAAAATTAATGATGCGTCAAAATTGATGGATCGTCAATGCTAGCGTTACCGTGACGGGCTCAACAATAACGTGAGTCAAGCATTAGTACATTTTTTATTGTGACTGTTAACTATGACATGTGACTCTGCTTTCTGTTTTCATTTGATGTCTTGATGACTTTATTATCAAAATATGTGCTTATTTTCTGTGTGTAGACCATGCAAGTCTTCCATAATTCAAACCTAACATATCTGACAAATGTCAACAGCAATCTAGATAATAGAAGTTCAATTTGTTGGTTTTTGGTTTTAGCCAGACAGCACTTGCGCTTGGTTCAGACAAAGGTCCTAGATTAAATTAGGAAATCTAAAAATCTTGCCTTTCTTTTATTTAAAGTTTCTGGGTTTCTTTTTTTCTTAAAGTTTAAGTAAGTTGAGTCTTAAGAGCTCAAGAGGGGCAGAGTATCTGTGAAGACTCAAAGAGTACTTACAGAGCCTATCAGTAAAGTCTTTACATCAACACTGGGATTTGAACCTACATCTTTACTAAATACAAATTCAATCCTTAGGACCAACTTTCGATGGCAGAGTTTTCTGGTTTGAATTATATTCCCTCACTTGTATTCCAAATTCTAGAGTATCTGCTGACATGCTATTTTACCTCTGTGGCTGTATATAAATAAACTCTTTCATGAACGAGTACAAAATCATTCCTTCGGTCTCTACTCTATTTTCTGCACAAAAGAAAATGTAAAAAAAAGGGGGAATCAAATAAAAGAAAAACCGGAAGGCAGTCTTGTTAGGAGATATCTCACTTGGTAAATTTTATACAGACCATAAACTGTTACAATGTTTTATCACAAAGTAATCACAAACATGGCAGACAATGAATATTGAATAGAAGAAGAAACTCTACAATAATTGGACTCAATAAATCCCTTGTAACAACTCTATATTGTAAAAGCACAGTTATTATTTTGTTTTGAAATCTCAAAGGAGAAGAAAAAAACTCAGCAACCTGAAACCCTCGTCCCTCAGCACTAGATTTTGGTGTTCCTTTGAAGTGGCCACTATTGGGTGTAGCACAAGGTGCACTCTTAGTAGTCAATACCTATCTCCACGTGGCTGCAGTCAAAGGAAGCAAATGACCAAACATTGTCAAATCCAATAATGTTACAAGTGACTTACATATATATTTTTAAACATGGTTTATTTTAATTATTGTACTTGTTTATCTCTACTCACATCATATGCAACGAGAGATCTGCAGTAGTTAGTGTTTGTGAGCACTGTGCTTGTAGAGCCACACTCGCTGTCTTTGAGTGAAACAGTGGATCTGTCAAGCTTGATAGACCAAGGGTATTGGTAGTTATGGGCAGTGGCACCCACATGTGAAGATGACCTCTGCATCCTCATTGGCCTTGGCACATTTCTTCCTTCCACTGACACTCTTCGCCGGCTTGGTTGTCTTTCAAATGAATCTGCTGGTCTTTGTTTTGGTGCACTGTGTGATCTGACTTTAGCCCTTGAAGATTCAGTGTTAGCCATGTAATTTGGGAACAAAGGGTAGTCATAGGACATGGATTCTGCATAAGCTGGCCCAGGGAATGCAAAAGGATGTTTTGAATCATCTGCTCTTGACACAGCTGAGTAGTACTGGGGGCTGCTTTGTGCTGTGCTGAAGCAGTCCTCAAAATGGCCACTGCAGGCTCTTGGACTCAGCTCTGTCAAAGCTGATGGAGCTGGCGATACCTTGTAGTTTTCTTCCTTTGAGTATGAACCATTTGTTGAATAATGTGTTGAAAATCTATGGTCAAATTGTTCGTGATGTCCATGATGATGTACACTGCTGCTTCTGCTTCTTGAGTTCCATTTTGATAAACAAACATCCATCTCAACAATCTTGACGTTGTCTTCCAAGCCTCTGTCCATTTCCTAGAAGCACAAACCCATATGTCATATCAATGACACTACATGAAGTCAATTTCCTTAAGTTCATTTCTCAATTTTTTGTCATTTGGACTGGCTAAACGAATTCAAGTTGACCTTATTTTTCTTTGGCATTTGTTAGAAATTCACACAAAAGAAGCAATTTTCTTGGCCTGAATTGAATAGTGCCGAGTTTTTTTTTTTTTTTTGTCAGTGAGTCCTAATATAGAGAGTTCTTTAACATACAATTCAGAATTAAATCTATTACTTTCCTTCGCTACAAAATTTTTGTACCATGCAGAAAAGATACTGCAAATGAAAAAAAGTATTTCATTCCTCAGATAATTCCCCATCATCAGCATAATGTATAGTATATCACATCAATGCAGAAAATTTGTACCATCATATTACTATCAAAAGATAATTGGGACTAGTTACGGAACTGACATTATATAAATGCCTGAACATGTAATCTTCTGTAGCATTTCTCTGCGTTGAATGTTTTTGATGAGGCTTTCCTTCTGACTCTCGAATCCTCTGAGCACGAGCTCTGGCTTGTGCTGTCACCAAAGCCTGCATGCATCTCAGAGTTGCCTTGGCCTGTTTTCTCACCAAATGACCCCTTACTAGTGCCTGCAACTTCACTAATCCTCTAAGAGCACACAATGCTTTTCTTGCCTATAATAGAAACAATGACATATATCACACATTCACATACTCAAATAAATTCCTTCCTTAAAAATGACATCGACATACCAAGTGAGACCGAAAGACAGATTGAATTTTAATGGCAGCAACCTCTTCGATACTCTTAGATGTTTCATTGGAAGCAGAAGTTAAGCGAATTACAACAGCTGCAGCCTGTGCAGCTGCCACTGCAGCATCAGCTGCTGCTGCTGTGGCAGCAGCCACAGCCATTTCATGCTTCCTTTGCTCATTCTCAATATCAGTGGCAGTTTGCACTATCTGTTGTGAAGAAGCCGTAACATTTGATTCTGCAAAGTTCAATTCCTTGGAAGTTGTTGGTGGTGTGGCTGAGGCTGATGATCTTCTAAAACTCCACCTCTTTTTCTCCTTTGGGGTTGTGGAAATTGGAGTGGTTGGATTTTCTGTTCCATTTGAAGAACTCAAGTTAGTTGCCGATTTTTCCTTCTCCTTTTCCTTGTCTTTCTTACCTGTCAAGAAGCTTCTAAGCCATTTTCCTGTCTTCCCCATCTCTGTCAAACACTTAGTAACCTAATATGGATGCTAGCAAGTAGCAACAACTCTGAAGAAGAAAGTAACCAAAATGGTTTGTAGATCTCTTCATGTCTCTATATGATAAGTTGCTTTCAATACTATGGCCCCCTTAATAAAAATAAATAACTCTATTTGACAGCCTAAACTCACTGTCTCATCCATCTTTTATGTACTAAATACTAACCACCATTTTGAGAATTTGTTTGGATCTGTGCATATAATTAGGCAAGGCCTGGTTGTTTGTGTAAAAAAGAAAAAAGCAACCCCGTATAAGCCACTTGCCGCACTCTAGAGCACTACGTACTGTTATAGATTAAGATTCCTTGTCCTCTGAAGTCTAAAGTGAAAAGAATTTTCAGTGCCCATGTTGTCCCTATAGATAAAGCATTCCTCTTCAGTGGCTGTCAAGGGTGTTTTGGTGATTTCCGTTGTCAGTTATATGGGATGGGATGGATCAGAAACCATGTGAAAATAGATCAAGAACATGCAACATCCGTGTAAAATACTCATATTTGTGTGGGAGAGGTGTTCACTTGAGGGTCCATTGCAAGGGTCATGAAAAGAAAATTACAAGACCTTGAGGGATCCACTAATAAGTGATTGAGTACCGCACGTGCCCACCCTATCCGTGTAGATGTTGGTAAGAGTTAAGACTTGCGATTAAATATTCTAGTGCTTGTTTTTGTTAACTTTTTTATACACATTACTGGTGTTTTGTCCTGATACCAAGACCTTGTGAGAAGTAATCTAACTTTTATGTTTCCTATGACGAAAAGCTACATTGGGTTGACTGTGAAATGAACTTGTACTGATTGTATTGCCTTCCAAATATCCACAAGCACTGCAAAAGATTTTAAACAGTTCAATCAAACTATGTTACAATTTTAGACTACGCGAGTACTCAAATGGTACAGCCACCGACACCAAAGTTATTGAGTAGCTGAATGGGGTTGGCTTGAATGGTGGCTAAATGTAGAAATAATAAAGTGCTTGATCCATGTATAAAAACTTTGTTGAGTGACGAAATATACACTTAACAGCTTGTGACGAGTGGATTTGTCAGATTTAGAAATTGATGGTAAAAAGTGAAAAATCCAAGACCTATTTTACAACGAAAGGGGAAGCATTATCCGAATCATTATTGTTACTTGGGTAATGACGTGTGTGCAGTAAATAAATGAATAAAGTTATAATCAACGCTGAATACGTTGCATGCATTTATGTATAATGTATTCCAACTAAAGGTAAATTAGGAAACGGGACCAAGTCAGTTAAACCAGTTCTTGTTGCTTATACGTACATGTACATGAATATCCAATTAATAGGGCTGGACCCCATCTTACCCATCAAGATAGAGTGGTGATTTGTATTGTTTTCAAGGATATCTTTTCGTAAACAAACAACTAGTTGGCAATCACGTGGCATGTTTATATGCTCCCCATTTGACTCGTTGTTCTGTTCGGGGAAACACACCTCCTTGGGATTTGCCTAATTTCTTTCTCTAATTCTCTATTTGATTTCTTAATTATCGTTTTACTTGATTTTGTCACCAAAATCATTCGCCTATGGCTTTATCTACCCTTAATTCTTGTAAGTTGTGAAGGAGAATGGATAAGCCAGGTAATTATATAAAAACAATTGAAAGATATAGATGAATTCAGAACAGTGAATTTCCTATCCAAATCCTTTTCTGATAGATATAGCTTATTCTGTACATGAGTATTTGTAATTTTCGAATGGTTCTAACTGAAACAACGCCAGTAATGCAAATGTGGTCCTAGGGTCTTCAATTTAATCGAATATCATATTAATAATTTATTAGAAGACGGAGGAGACAAAAACAAAACACAATAATTTGATATTTGATAAGTTTTTCATGAAGGTTGTCCTCTTATGGTTAGAACATTAATCAATAATGATTCAACGAATCCAACCCACAACCATAAAGTGAGGAACTTGATCATAAGATATAAATGATGCATTTTCTTGGAAAGTTCTTAATTATATTATCTGATAAAGAGTAAGACATGCATAACTTTCCGAAGTTGACATGAAACATGTAAATTGTAAAGACTTGTTTAGAACATCAATCTCCGGAATTTCATTAATCTGATCTCTATTGAGAAGATCCTCTCTAAGTGGCGCCTGTATGAGAGTCCATAGTTTTGAGTTTTGAGTTATCTTCTCCCTTGATTGCTCAACATGTGGAACACATTCCACATCCCTTCAAAGACATTCTTTTATTCATCACGAAATACTTTATTCCAAACAAAATGGAAGAAAACACATATTAGGGGCTAGTTTTGTACACGGTTTAGAGTACAATAATACAAGATTTTAAGCATTGAAGAGAATCTCTTAATGGTTCTAGTGCTGTTCACATGGGTTTCAAAGGATTATATCAAAGCATGTGAAAGATGTTTAATTGGAGAAAGGTCCTTTGATTCCTTTTAACCTTTTTCTTATATTTGTGGCCTTCGTACTACTGTCAGCACATGCTTCACTTGTTATGCTCTCCCTACGAGAAACTACCAAGCAATGTGCTTCATTGATAAAATGCTTTTTTCAAGGAAGGGGAAGATATAAAGAAAAGAAGAAAAACAAACTAGTTCGTAGTTTAGAACTGTTACATAAATTGACCATGTGACGAAGTCTTGGATAAAAATTGAAGTATCCCCAAAGAAACCATGATTGTGACTCTTGGCTCTAAGCAAAATATTATAATTTGTTTTAAATTTTATAAAAAAATTTATTTAATTTTAGTTCTTAAAAAAATACAAAAATATGTGATTTTAGTTCTTACTGAGAAATTAAGAAATAGTTTGGATAGAGATTGCATTTTCCCAATGTGAAGAAATCGAAGATTTCAGTCACATTATACCTTTTTGCACGCACAACATCGATCTAGATTATGAAAATGAGAAATCTATGTAAACCACTGTCGTGACATACTTCGGCAAAATTGGATTAAGAGATGAAGGCCATGTTCCACGGCTTCATATTCGGCGATGGTAACATTTACGTACAAACATGAACGAGTATCGTTGTCATTTTCTTAGGCCGTATCAATATAGAAGATTAATGTTTCAGTCAATTATGTTGTCAATTTAACCTTGTGTGTGTGTATGTGTAAATTTAGCATGAGAACTTCATTTTGTTTAAAATAAAGTGGGGGAATTGGTATTCATTTAAAATCTCCAATGTCATGCAAAAATTAATCTGAAATTCGATATAAATTGATCAAATAAAAAGCACGCTTCATGATCGGTCTCAATAAATGATTGATTGAAAGTTTTATATGATTTTGCACAAAGGAATATATTGGACAATCTCAAATTCAATTAATGTAATATTTGACTAATAGTTTGGGTTCAAGTGATTTTGTTTTCGAAGTGTGAAGATATTAAAGATTTTAGTCACATTTTTCTTTTTCACATGCAACAACAACAATTGTATAAAAAATTGCAATCAAGTCTACGTAAAATCTTATCGTAACATACTTGTCAAGGGTAATTAAAGATTCATCGACAAAACTGAATCAAGGAAGGAAGGGACCATGCCTCGATCATTTCAAATTCAATGAAGTAACATTTATCAACATGAAAGGAGTATCGTTTCATGTTAGGTCATAGTAATAGATAAATGTTCCTGTCTATTACGTAGAAAATTTAGTCATGTGAGGAATATATATACATACATACATATATATATATATATATATATATATATATATATATATATATATATATATAGCAGCCATGTGAACTAGACCTTAGACCTAGCTGCCTAGTTATATAATATGAGCCTAAAACCAAAGTTACTTGGACTGCTGATGGCAAATAATGGTAGCAACTGAAAAAAAGGTGTAAGTAAGAAATGGTAATCACATGCAAAAAGAAGTCTCAAAATCATTTATGTGAGAAGATAAGTGAGGATATGTTTAGCAAAGGGGTGGCAAATTGAATGATTCCAAATTCATGCACAATCTTCCAAGCAAGGTAGGCTCCAAGTACCTTTGTTATGAACTTCTTGTCCATTTGCGTTTGATTCTCCCACAAATTATGATGAATCGATGATGCGGAACCAAACAATTCAAATGTAAAGAACGTGTTGGACATGTCCGTTTTATGGAAATGATTTAATGTCTAACATGGATATGTGAAAATTTTAAGCAAGTGGCATTTAGGTTCTCCAAAAGGTGTAATTCACACTGAAATTGTGCTCTTTTAGCCTTGATTGTTCAAGCTTGGTGAAAATCCTCAATTTTTATTCAAATAGTGTAGAAAAGGTGAACAAATAATATTCAATGAACTCATCATTTGATGACTTTACTCGTAAAACATATAAATCTCATGATAAAAAATGGCCTCGATGCGCGCATTTAAAAGAGTGTGTTGCATTCTACTTGAGCTATGTTAAATGGAATGTCTTCAAATGGAAAAGAAAAGTCTAATTAAGATTATGTTTGAGAGTTAGGTTTAGGAGGAGAGAGAAGAGAAAAGATTAGAAGAAAATTAATTTTGTTTGGGAGTTGCTTAATTAAAAAGGAAAAGTTTTAGGATTTTTTTTAAATCTTTCAAAAACTTATTTTTTGAGTTCTCTTATTTTGGAAGTTTTCTCTCTTCCACTCTTTTATATTATTTTATAAATATATTTTTTTTAACTTTTTTTTAAATTGTTAGTTTTTAAAGTGATAATTTTTTTTAAAAAATTAAAAATATTAATTTTTAATTATTTATATAATTAAACTCTCTATTACTCTCTTTCTCAATATTAAATATTCAAATAAATCAGAAGTTTAACTTTCTTTTCTTTCCCTTCCTCTTCTTCTCCATTCAAATCCTTCCCTTTCTTCTCCCTTCAAACTTTCAAATAAAGCTTAAAATTATATACTTTTTGTTATAAACTAAAATTGAATAAAATTTTTATAGGAATTAAAACAAAAAATTGTGATATTTTTAGGAGCTAATAACTTGTTCAAGTATAATACAATTTTTTTTTCTCATTCAGAACGGTGAGATGTCGATATTTTGAATTCCTTTTTTTGTTGTGGATGCTCATAAGATTATGGTGGATTCACTCCACTTGTGAGTCCATATTTTTCAATTTGGAGCAGGCATGGCACACCTTAGCTCTCACCTCATTAAATGGAGTTCTATCTTAAGCAATGCTTATGATACATTCTCATACCAAGATACGAGTGATATTCAAAACCTGTGAACATGTTTGTGCCTGCATATGAAGTAAGAATGAAATATTTTGGTGTTAAGAGGATCATATAGATTTTAGAGTCAATCTGGGGCCTGCTACATGCAATCCAAACATTTATATCATTATATGTGCTTTTGATAATTCACTTGGCACTGAAGCAAGCAAGTCTTCAAAACTTGGATGTGATAATATTGTCGAAGGTTTTGATCCTTCATCTGGGCACTTACCCTTCTTCCTGTTCATTTGAATTTTGTGGTACATGTGTTGTAATATACTATGATGCAGTTCCATATGATCAGAAGTCAAGATTGCTTTATTAGCTAATATAGGACACTGTCCCCACGAGAGGGTGAAAGCATAATAAGCAAACTGATTCAAAGCAAGAACAAAAGTTCGAATTAACAAAAGCTATAAATAGTGTTATAATTTGAACAAGTGAAAATGAATATTATATGTAATACTCCGTATCGTTATTTTGTATATATATATATATATATATATATATATATATATATATATATGAAAAAAAAGACAACAAAAATTATCCGCAGAGTCGTTCAAAAATCAATAACTAACTAGTTAAGTTAACTTTATCTGTGCGACTATATATCTTATCTTTTCCTGACTATTGGCATCAATTAAACCAAATAAAAACACTGGTGCTTCTGCTAGTAATTATATTTACCCGTAAAATCACTTTTTCATAAAACCTTTAATATATAAATACTTAAACAATATTAATACTTATATAATTTTTTTTATCTTTATTTTTTTTTATCATATTTATCATTTTTTAATTCCTATATCTTACCATATGTAAACATTCCTATCGAATATTTTCCTTTCACAGAATAGCAATTGTATAAACTCTAACATTAAGAATATATTTATAGAAGAGGTGAAATAAAGATTGCTACCTCTATTGTTATAAAATTCCTATCACAGATTGCTTCAATATATATATATATATATATATATATATATATATATATATATATATATTATAGTTATTTAAAAATAAATAAATGAATAAAACAAAAAAATAACTTTCCTCTCAAATTTCTCCTGTTTTGGGGGGATTAATTCTGTACAGGCTTCACGTGTACAAATTCTTTCCTTTCACCTTTTTTAAGAAAAAATGACTTTTTCTACTTTAAATCTTAATTCTTTTCCTCCAAATTCACCAAAATAAACAAAAATAAAGCTACTTTGCTTTCAAAAAGTACATTATGGTTATATTTCAATGAAAAATTAAACACACTTATTTGTATCTAAGATCAGAGTGTTCCAACATTGATGACTTAGTGAAATAGAACTCCATGGCTTTCATTATCTTCATACCTCAATGCTTGTCGCAATCTAACAGTTCAGTCATCCTCAAATAGCAGCAGCAGGGTTACCATGGTGGCCAATATGTGCATGTAAGTTGCTATGTCATTGCCATGAAATTTATGGTAAAGACAACTCCATAAAAGAGTTCAATCAACAAACATTTCATGCTATTTCTCCACTTTCAAAGAGGTTGGCAAATATCAATCACCTATAAATTCTTAAATAAGAATAAATAGTTATGGAGATATAAATATGATATTATTTTTATTTTAATGGGTAATAAAAATATTCATACCCGCATGCATTCCTATAGTATTTTACGAACCAAATTGCATGATTTGGAACTCATTTAGCGCGAGTAATTTTTCTTTTCACTGTTGATATATTTTGCAATTACTCACTAAATATAAGTCCAATTGTCATCCTTAATGGAGAGGAAACCATAGTATATTTTATTTTTACTTTTTGTCAACACCATGTTGCTTCAACAACATTAATTTTTTTTTCAACAGAAAAACGGAGAGAAGGCATCAAGGCCCCAAGAAACCCAGGCCCAAAACCATACACAAAGCAACAATTAGGATTCTCACGATTGGAAGTTTTTCTTCTTTCAGAAATATTGATAAGGATTTTACACCTTTTTGTTTTTCCTCAAGAAATCAAAGGATTAAAACTGGGTCTCCAAAAATGGGCTTAAATGAAAATACCAGAATGGGCCTTCTGTCCTATTTTGTTATAAATTTTTGGAGCAGACATTTTATTTGATGCATAACTATTCAAAATTTTAAATTTTTTAACGCATAGATGACAAAACTTCACGATTTTAGTTTTTTTTTAAAATTCATATACCTTTTTCAAGAAAATTCTCTATATAACTTCCATAACAGAAACAGTAAAATGAAATTTAAAAGTTATATTTCGAACAAAATATTAATATTAATATAAGTCCACAATTTTCCGCGTTAATAGGAACTTGAGTAGGTTAGAAAGATTAAAAACGGACCCCAAAATTCAGGGGCAGAGGCTCTCAACGTGTTAAGGCAGTGTTTTCATTTATTCCGTGTGAACCCGTATTAAGGCAGTGGTTCACAAAGTTGCCAATCTTCTTGTCAAAAGAAATTAGGTAACAGTATCCTTACAATATCTTTTAATCAGCATCATTATAATAATTAGGTATTGATTAATAAATTTTTGACTTAGGTACACTAATTGAATTTATACAATAATTTTTCCTCTTTCAGTCTTGTCAATTACCTGTTAGTGTTAATTTCATTTTGTTTACGTTTTTTACCATTTCGAGAAGCTCGCATTATTGTGTCTTGTAGTTTTGGTTCCTTTTTTGTGTCACAATTGCACGTGTTGACCGAGCTTAGTGAATATACAAGTTTTATATTTTGCATTTCATTATCTAAATTTCTCATTCTCATGATGATTTTGTGCTTCAAAGCATACCTTATCTATGTTATAAATACTTAAAAAAAATTTGTACAATGGACCTAATTAAATCAAAATAAATTTCTAAAGAATTGTTAAAAATATATTATATGACTATTTTAAAATTTCTTAAAATTTATAAATTAGAAAAAGTAATCATTATAATTATTAACAATAAATTTTTTATTTTATTAACTAAAATAAATATATTCTTAAAAATTAAAAATATAAAAAACATTTTAAATTATTATTTTTTAATTTAAAAAGTATTTAATCTCAACAAATTTTACTCGATATAAAATGAATTTAATTGCTAAATGCTACTCTGTGAAAATATTTTCAAAAACACTTTTTCAATATTAATATTCACATGTTATATTTAAATATTAATCAAAGCCCTCGATGATTTTGAAAAAAAAATGCACACCATGTCTAAGTTTCGAGTGCAAATTTTCTCCATCTCCAAGTATTTTATATTTTTACTTATTCAGCTGGACAAACAAATAATTGTTTTTACATTTGCAGTCCCGTCGTTCAGTTTTATGTAAGAAGAAAACATGTTAAAAAAACAGTCACATTTTTCTATAAATATTCAAGCAAAACTACATTCAAGGGAAGATAATAATTGTTTTAGAAAAAAAAAAACACGTGTTTACTTTTTATCCTCTGTTTTGAAACTTGAATTTTGATTCAGAACAGTGGCAAGCCTACCCTAACAAATAAGAAAAATACTTCTTTTATGAATTTATCTGAATTAGAGAGACAACAATTGTGTGTCCATTTAAGGTGACGATTTTGAAGAGCCACGTGTTTGATTAATGGACACTAAAAATGGTGCTTCCAATGGAATGCAAGCGACACATCGAAGCAGTAAAATTCCCTGACAGAGTATTTGCCAAATTGCAACATCACAGTGCCATGCCATCCTCACCAAAGGGCGATATAATTATACATACATACAATTCAAATCATTAGCAACCGCTACACTCATCAGAATTGGGCCCTCCAACTTTTGATATTTACCAAGAGGTAACACTAACATTCCTACTCACCCAAGTAACCATCCAAACTTTGGATCCATTATTTGGGTTGCAAAATCTCACCCTTAAATTCAGATAAGAATAAGCAGGTTAAGACTTTATGGCTGGTAGGTTACCTGGTGTTGGGTTGCTTCCAAGGAAGAGAACAGAGCAACCCCATAGATATGAACACCATGCCACCTACCGTCACTCCCACCCGAGGGACGAATCATCATTGGAGCCACCATGGCTTTCAATTAGTGTCTTAGATGATACTGCCCTCAAGGCCAGGCAACGTTTGCAGAAGAAGCTTGGACACTTCTTTTCCTCTTCCAGGTATATTATACTATACATATTTCCCCACTTATGCATATATACATATATATACATCAATCCCTTCAATTAAATTGATGATGAAGATTCATTCATTCAAGAATAAAGAAGTCCCGAAGTAGAGAATGGGTAAATTAATCATGTCCAGCCATGAAAATTTGAAAACGCATGTGTCCTTTTTTTAAGGATCAAGTGTGAATAATTTTGTTGCCTAGCTGGAGTTTATGCATTTGTTTAAGACTTGGTTTCATTTCGCACGAGTTCCTTGTGATGCCAAATTGAGGATTTTTTTCCCCTCTCTAAATGAAGGGTATGTTGATTCTGAGATTCACATGACTTTTATTTGTTAGATTGGAAACTCTAATCTACTGGTTGGCATCTAAGGTGGCTAAATATAATGATAACTCACTTTTGGTCTATAGATACGATATTGCTATTTAGCTATGGGCATTTTAACCATAATATTGCCCAAATGCAATTTTACAACAAAAAAAAAATTATTCTTATCAAATTTAGTTTCTAATTCATTGTAAATTAATAAATATGATTTTGTATGTAATACAGGTCAAGTGAGAAATCAAAAAAAGAAGGAAAAGAAAGCCAAAGCAACAAGCAGCGGCAGAAGGATGTAGGATTGGGTAGGAAGTTATTAGAAAGTTCATGGTTATTGCGTCCAAACAAGTTTAAGAAAGAGAGAAAAGTGTGTGCTGTTTGCCTAGAAGATTGCCAGCAACAGCAGCAAGTTATGAACCTTTCTTGCTCTCATAAATACCATTCAGCATGTCTTCTTCCCTGGCTTGCAACACATCCCCATTGTCCTTATTGTCGAACCCCAGTTGAGCCTTCATGATATATATAATATACCCGTTCCATGCTTTTGGCTGTTTGCAAATGGGGTCTCAAAATTTTCATTTTACTTTATGTTTTGCGCATTTGTAACATATTGTAATCATAATGCTGTCTTGTTGAAGGGAGCTGAGAAATGTGAAAGCAATGCATTGCAATCTTTCATTTGAGCACGTTTCTTGAGGCTTCATAAGATTATCACATTTAGCTAGTTTCTCTTCACAAGTAATGGAAAACCTCTTTTCCCTTTATTTTATTTAATTAATTTCACTTGTACAAGAGTAGGATATGAATATATGGTTTCGTCTGTTGAATTTGTTTTTCCATGCGTTATTATTACTTGCATGTATATTTTTAAAAAATTACACATTTTTTACTAAAAAAAGTCTCTGAGAAATCTGATATCAAAGAAACCGTTTTTAAAAAATATAAATTAAATTAACCCTGTACTTAATTTTAGACCAATATGATAATTTCAATACTATTAATAGTAAAACTGTGAAATTTATTGCATGTATTCTCAAGACACGTGTCAAAAGTAAAAAATGGAAAAATAATAAATTAAAATATTACTACCTCAAGTCTTAAATAACAGATTTTTTTTATAGAATCTGTTGTGATCCTTTTTTATAGGACTCTTGCAAATTATTGCTTGCATTAATTTTTTTTATATGTATAGAAATATAAGACAAAGTAATTAATTAAGTATAAAGAGAGGTTATTGTGGATCTCAATAATTTTAAGGATAGATTTATATAAAAAAAATTGAATTATTAATGAAGTTAACTAGTTTAAATTTTTGTGAAGTAACTAGAATGATTTTGTATTTAAGATCAAAGGTACTAACATTGAAAAGCTTTTATAGTATTAAAAGTGATTAAGACAAATAATAAATACTGATAAAATTTTTAGGGTTTTAAGGTTGAGTATAAACATTTGTAAGTATAAAATTTTTATGAAACACGTTTGTTGTAATAAAGTTGTAAAAGTATAATAAATATTTCTATTTTTAATTAAAAATTAGTATTATTAATTATTTATCTTACTACTAAAGTTAACAAAACATAAACTTTTAAGTGTCACGGTCATGATTTTGTATTTTGAACCTTGGTTTGGATCCGAGAATATAAATTACTTTTTTTTTTAACAAATAATATGGTTGACAAATTGAAGATTAAATTATATTTCTCAACATAAGTGTAAGTCTCAAATCATAATTTGAATAAAATTATAATCGAAATACACTTAAATCATTATGATTTTTGTAAATGTCTTGTTAAGACATTTCGGGGGGTGTGTAATTAGACGTTAGTTCTTCCACTAGGAACCAATCTTTAAAACGATCAAGAATTTGAAAATTTGTATTTATTTATTATTCAGAAGAAAATTAATTAGTGAATGAGAAAGGAAACAAATAGGCGAGAAAATATTTGCGTGTTGGAGTGCGGCCACTTCATGAGCAAAGGACAAAGGGCTTCCATGTGGTAGGCACCAACACGACATCACAACAAAGTACAGCCCTCGTCAATTTTATTTCTAGGACTTCGATTCTACGTTTAATAACATGACTTGATTCAGACTGTAATTAAGAATGTGTTAAAAAAGTTGTGAATATAAATTTAATATAAAAATTATAATTAGTAGTATTTAAATAAATGTAAATTCAATTATTCAAGAAATAATTTATGACGTTATTTCTATTGGAACAAATTATTTCATAAATTTTTTTAACTCTTTTAAAGGTTAAAATTAAGTTTATATATTTTATAATTAAATACCTATTTTTACATTATTTTTATTATATTTTTAACTAAATTTATTCCGCTATGAAATCTTAACAAAAACATAATCAAAGATTTAGCCAAAAATAAATTGAAAATTCAAGAACTTAATTACAAACTCTTAAAGTATAAAAAATCATTTTCAACTTTATAAAAAGTAAAGGAACCTACGGAATAGTAAAACTTTTATTTTTAATCATCGTGAAATTATTTTACGAATCTGATAATTATAAAAAAGAATATGACTGCAACACGTATAAAAAATCCAATTCAAATCAGAGATATATTAGACCAAATTAAAAGCAGTAAAGCACTATTGTTGGGGGGACGTACTTCTGTTCTTAGATTGGACCGCAATCAACGTTTATTGTTCATTCTAGGCTGAACCGGAAACATGATACGTAACATCTTCGTCAATCAAATTGGCCATGTCACTGCGTGGAATAGCATAATTGGTAGCATCAAAACATTAAATTAGAAGAATTTAGTGGAGAAAATGGCCTCAAAGACCATTGACTTTAGCACAAGTTCCTATGTTCAAATAGTTTCCTGTTTCAAAACTGTGTATTAGATTCATGTGCCCAAATGTTAGATAGCCACGATCTCCTTCCTAGATTATCCTTTTTAAGTTAGAATCCATTTTTATCCGTGTCATTGTGACCCTCTCTCTCTCACAAACACACACCCCGTTAGAGTTAGATGGCCTTCGCAAGTGTCATTGCATTTCTGCTTCTCCAAACTCTTACAGCTAGAAGTGATTTCCTATCTCCTCTGCTCTCTCCATTATATGGTTTGTGATTGTGACCCTTCTCTTTTAGCTTCCTTTTATCATCGTTTGTTATCTGCTATGCTTTTATTGGGTTGGATTTCTTTATCGGGATACTATATTTGTCGCTTTTTATTTATGGTTTGATGTTTCTTGACTTTTCTTCTTATGGGTCTTCCCAAGTTCCTTTATTATTATTATTATTTGTTGTTTTGGATTTCTCAATTTGCTTTTGACTTCCTGTGCTGTTTACAATGTGAGTTGAGTTCAGAGGATGTCTGTAAAGAAGTGGAATGTGGAAAGGGAACTTGCAAGCCTTCTAAGAATAGAACTCTCTTATTTGAATGCGATTGCGATCCAGGTTGGAAGCAAGCTCTTTCTGCTCATGATCCTGGCTTCAACTTTCTTCCTTGCATAGTTCCCAATTGTAAGAACTCTCTCTCGTCCAAATAGAAGTTGTGTTATTCGCTATTACTTTGTTATGGATTGTTCTCTGCTTTATTTAATCTTACCACTGCATTTTTTATAGGATGCTTGCTTTCAGTAGTATACTATTACTAACACAACATGAAATGCAATGTTAGGAAGCATATATTGTTATGGAATACGTTTTGTTTTTGGTGGCTATTTTTGGCTGCACGTGGTTGAAAAAGTCTATGGTATTTGGTGAAATAATTTACTATGTTACTGTGTGAAAGTGTCTAAATAACTCAAGTTTTGAAGCAATTGACTTGCAACAAAAGAAGATAGCAAGATAACTTGGGGGAAACTTTACAAACGATAATCCATTTCTTGCTTAAAGCGTAGAGATTTTCTTCACGTTCATGAATCCTGTCAATGTTTGTTCCTAAGATGTTAAAGTAGTATTGAAGCAAAGAACTAAGTCATGGTATGATATGAACTAACAATCCTGTATTGCTTAACTTTAAAGATAACAAATCTGAAGTTGCTGACAGCGTGGTTCCATTATAAAGTTGGAGTATTACTATTATTAGGTGATTGTATTAATTTGCATTAAGAGGGAATCAACTGGCAAAATTAAGTCAAAATGCAGAATAGCCGCACACCAATTAAACAGACACTAAGAAATTGAAGTAATGATTTCAAGTTTGTGATCTTACAAATTACTCAACAAACCTGCAACTGATGCTTGTAGTTTGTAGCATTTTGCGCTGAAGTGTAATCTCTTAACCGTCGCAAGTGTCAATTAGAACTTACAAATGTGTACAGAAAGCATGGTGTGGATATTGCAACTTTGTCAAATTAGTTAAAAAAACTTCCTCCCAGATTAACATTTGTATTGTGATTGTTTAGAACAGTTCTTGAGTTTTCTTGATGACTATTAAAAATATTTTTCATTTTAACAGATGCTGAAAGATTTTCATAATCCCATTCGTAGGTACTCTGAACTACTCCTGCTCCCAGGCCCCTGCTCCTGTTCAACAAAAGGAAAGAAAAGCCAATGAGTCAATCTTTGATGGTAATTGAAATATATAACTATTGGCAGCTCATATTTCAGTTCTTCTTTATCCTGATTTGTCATCCCGTTTTTATCCTATGTTCATGCAGCTTGCCACTGGATTGATTGTGGAGGTGGCTCATGCAACAAGACATCCTTATTCTCTTATAGTTGCAAGTGTGATGCTGGCTATTTCAATCTTCTCAATGCCACTTCCTTACCTTGCTTCAGAGAATGTAAGAAGATAAAACCTCAGTAGTTGTAAAATCACTTTGTTTAGGGGAGTCATATATTTTATTATTGTTTTTGTTTACTATGTTCTCCTTGTGTCCCAATTAATGCAAAATAACTTGAGATTTTAAATGTCTTCAAGGTGCTCTTGGTTTGGGTTGCTCTAACCTTGGAATATCAATGACAAACTCATCCACCGCTTCACCAACAATGAATGAAAATGGTAAGGATGAGTGTAAAGTCATAACTGTATGATTAGGTTTGTATTTGGGTTTTGCTATTTTTTCTCATCCCTTTTTAAGTTGTGTAGTGATAAAAACAATGGAAGTTGTATAAGTTGGCCTTCATTCGTACCTTGCTCTTATATTTTTCTTTCTAAATGTTTCTCTAATCTCAAGAGAAACTAAACAATGATTGAAAGAATAAGTGCACCAGTATTTGAATGTTGGAAATCAAAGTCTTGTTTGTGACTCTTTAGACAGAAATATGGTCCAATTATATAGAAACAACTGGCTCATTTGTCTTAAAACTGTTTATTTCTAAGTTATCTCTGATCATAAAGCACTATGTTAAGCTGCTTACTGTACATTTTCTATGCGTTTTATGACGGGCTATAATTTTTATTTTTTCATTTTGGATTCTCAGATAGCTTGATTTTAAGAGGAAGCTCTCCTTGGCTGCTCGTGCTGATTATATTCATAGCCAATATACCGTTGCAGTAGGAAATTCGTGAAAACTGGATGTTCTTAGTAATATAGGGCAGCAGAGAGTTCAATATCGTTACAATTAAGCACCATTATATTGCAAAGAAATGAGATTACGAGTTTTGACACCTGCAACTCTCGTGTATTTGTCTTAGTATTTCATTATCTTTGTACAAAATATAAAAGAAAACATACCTCTGTAGTCTTGTTTCTGTCTATGATCATAGCCAAAATAAACTATACTTTGTCTTGGTATCTGATCTAGTACTGCTCTTTGAATACACTTGTTTACTGTTGTGTAAATGGCTCCAAGGTGGGAAAATTGGGACTTTTGCTTCATAATTGATTTGATGAAATTAATTTTATTCGTTGAACATAATTGCCGGTGTGTTAAAATTAACTTCAGTCGTACATTTTTATTTGAACATGTATTTTTTTTCATTAAAAGTACAGAATGATTCTTCCAAGTATAAATCCAATAGGCATTGAAGAAATTGGTCCAACAAAAACCGGTTTTCCCTCTAGATGCATATGGAGAACCAAAAGAAACAAAGCAGCAGTGCAGGAAAAGTTAGGCAGATGCCCCAGCAAAACATTTGGTCAATAACGTAGACAGGGCTACCTGAGTGCTTACTGTAGAACTGTTTAGTATATGTCACATGACCCCAATTACTTAAAGCAAAACTTGGAACATGATCCTTTCTAATTTTTCAACATTATATAAATTCATGGTTTCTCAAGTTTTAAGTGTATCAAGCATAAGAGCCATCAGTGAGTTTGATAACCTCAAATTGAATCAGGATTATGTATGATGAGAAACTTAAATTTAATTACTGTAAATGCACATAGAAAGACACATTACATTTAACGAATGTTCCATGGAAGTCAGTTTTTAAAGCTTTTAAAATGATCGGATTGAGAGTTGAACTTGGACATGCAACAAGACTTGATTGATGGGTAAATTACATTTTTATATAACTAGATGGGCTAGGTTGTGAGTTTTGAAATTTTAAGGGCCCATCTATCATAGTAACGAAAGAATAAGATTGAAGATGTGAACCACTCACCCACCCCTACGGGCTACAGCTACAAAGACAGGGCCCATAGTAGAACCTTGGGCCATAGAGTAGAAGAAAGGGTTGATTGGAAGAAGTAAAATACAAAAAGTGTCCCATCCAGAATTAAACTTGGAATAGGTGATGGCAGGCTGGTTCCTTGGAATTATTAGAGAGATTAATGGAGTTTGGTGTCCTGTATCTCGATTATCATTTACGATGTGATCTTCAAATTCAGATCACAGAATCCTCACCTCAAAACACCTCTTGCCTGTCCCTGTCCCATCTCCCATCTCCCGCCCCTTCAATTCTAATAGTCTCCTCCTCTTCCCTTCACTTTTTCATCTCTCTTTCAGTCTTTTCTTCTACTTTTTTTAGGATAAATACGTTCCCAAAATACTATTTAATCACGTTTTATGTTGTTATATGCAGAATCAATCTAATTATTTTAATTAGATCTTTTTCACTTTGAACTGAAAATATAATGATTATGATATGTTTGTCTGAATAATTTAATTAAGTATTTATGTGATAAATTTTTATTATATTAAGATTTATGTTATAAATTTCATTATAAAATTTAATAAAAAAACCTATCAAGGTTATAAATTTTACAAAAAATAATGTTGTAGAATTATTATGTTACAAAGGGCTATCGAACCTTGTCTGGAACAGACGTTGATGCGGTCAAATCCATTGGTGAAGAAGACATTCGAGTGTGAAAATTGTGTTACAGTCATTTTCCCAACACATTGATTTCAATCACTCAGCCCCCAATCAATCCATCACGAATCTGGAAGAGAAGTTTCTGAGAGAAAAACTTCAATCCCATCACCAGACACCACAGAAGGTAGAAGCTACAAAAGCTAAAACAACAGCGCCACCTCTGTCTCTGTCCCGTCTCATAAATAAAAAATTTAAAATAATAAAATCCAACACCCTCCACCGCCACTACCCAATGTACGGCGCTTCCTCGCTCGGCGGCAAATACGTCCTAAAATTATTATTGTAGCCAAAAAGCAACATCAATTAGACCCTTTATTGTGTTTTTTTATAATATTCCAAAACATAACTTGTGGTGCAGATTACACTGTGCTCTCTTCTTCGCCTCAACCTTTACTATATTGCTATACCATCTCCGTTTTCCTGCTTTCATTATTGTTGGCCTTCTCTTCATCTTTGATAAGGAAAATTTATTGCATTGTTCCGTTTCAACGTAGTCTCAATTACTCAAAATATGATATGTATATATTTTTATAAAATATTAGATAGGTGATAAAATATGAATGGTCGAGACTGTGCTATTTTACTTTGCAATTTTCTTTGTTAGTATCAAGTTTTATCTTAATAACAAAAACAACTATTCGTTTAATTTTAAACTGAGTAAGGTTAATTTTAATATAATTTATTTTTTATTCTGTTTTGACGCTTGTGTCGTCGTTTCCTTCCAAAGTTTTCTATTTTGAGGTATGATAGGATATCCAAAACTGGCAATAAGATAGTGCCTTCTTTGTTTAGAAAGCCGAAAGAAAATATATACAAATGGTGATAGGGCATAGGCCCACTACATTAAAGAGATGAAATAGTAAAATCCTTTATATAATTTGATTAAAGACTAATCCTAGGTTAGCCTAGCATGTACCGCAATAATTATATCTCACTTCACATCAAGACTTAACTTTTGTATTGCTTATATCGAATCTTTCGTTAGCTATCGATTGCACCCGTGGGTGTAAGGGTGTCATCAACTCTCTGTCAACTATCACCAATATATCCCACATTAATTTGGGAGAGACATGAATGATTCATTGAAATACATTTTCACATCTATAATAAAATAATAAACTTTTAAAACGGATTATACTGATGATAAATTAAACAATTACAGTAGATAAATATTTTAGCAGGGTTAGTAACAATAAAATTTTACTCCTTTAAAAACTTTCTTTTTTTTTATAAATATTTTTTTATTCAATCTAATCTCTTAAAAAGTGACATGCATGAAACATTTTCTCAAAATAAATACTAGAGTGGTTCTGAATTTATATTAACACATCTAGAATTAAGATAGAAAGTTTTATGTCGTTCCCTTAACCCCTTTAATTTTATGCCTTTTCTCCCCCCTTTACTCCTTTTTTGTTAATAAATAAATTTGCAGCCACATTGTATAACAGTTTATGCGAAAGTTGGATCAGGTTTGATGCAGATTTTGGAAACGAATAGAAGAGCACTTTAGGGTCAAAAACTTTGTGATTGATGTGTCATCTTCAAGCTAAATGAAGTCCCCCTCTGTGTGTACACATTGGTGGTGTTAGTGGTCTTAATCAAACATTGCACTGAAATCTTGTTTGAAACAAGAACAAAAATGCGAACCTCTGGTGTTGTTGTTTCACCACCTTTAACAACAGGCCTACCTGTCTTCCACGAAATAAGTCTCCTATAACATTACGCTACTATTCTTACCCCCTCCCAATCCTACGTTCCCTGTTTTTGCTTATCTATGCAGTTCTGTTCCATCTCATCGTGCCTTTTTAATCTCAAACTCTCTAAAGCATGCAAAAAGAAGTGCATGATCTAAACTGTAGTTTTAACCCATAAAAAACGGGGTAAGCTCAAAAGGAAATTTGAATATGGATAGCATTATTTTGAAACATTTTCCTCTATTGTACTATTTACAGAAGTACAAGTGGTAATCATATTGTAAATTTATGAGTACCCAAAATAAAATGGCGTAAATTGTATTGGGAGCAACATAGAAAAGGATCAATTCGGAACTTGGTTTAAGGCACTAGTCTTGTTTTTGGAATTTATGGATAAAGCATTTTCCAACCTATGTACAAATTAACCCAAGTGCATTAATCACACATTGTGATTAATTGTTAAATTCGTGAAAGTGTCCAAAGGAGTAAAGTTATGACCCGTTTGAATTGGCATTCAGTTAGTCAAAATCGATTTTGAATACAGTAATTATCGATTATCATTTTATTTTTGAAAAAAAAATGGAGTATATTAAATAGAACAAAAAAAAAAACACTTACTTCTAACCAAATCGATTTTATTGTAATATAAACAGACACGTAGTATTCCATTGTTGATCTTCTTTTTCGCTGATAATAATTATGTGGTGGCTATCATCAATCCTCTACTAAATTCTTGCTCAGTTGATGCAGTTCTGTCCCATCTCATTATGTCCCTTCGCTCCACCATCTTTCGCACGATTGCAGGATGTAAATTAATTGCACCACTGACCCACCAAGAACAACTTATTTCCATAGGGAAAAAAAAAAGATAAGGGCCTCGTACAAGTTCGATGTAAAAGCTTAACTGTGTGTGTGATCAAGGAGATTTTTAATCAGGGATATCTGATAGGGTTTTGACTTATGAACAATGCGTATAGACAAAGGTCACTATAGGGCTTGAACCCAGAATTTTAGAATTGGGAACTAGGAAGAACCAGTAGTGTGATTGTCATTATTATATGTTTCTTTTTTTTTTTAATACCAAAATAAACCATTGCTCATGGAACCAACCTATTCACTCACCATTTAACGAATTAACGGTCGGTTTGATAAACCGAACATTACAGCGTTAAATATAATTAAAGTATGTGTTAAAAATAATTTTAGTTATATTTTTTAAAATATGTATTTTTATTTAATAATACAATAATTAATTTTTATTCAGTAAATTAAATAGACATGTAGCTCCTCTGACTCGGTGATTGTTGTGTGTCTCTGAGCGTAGGAGGTGGGTGTCGATAATGTAAACATTTAAGGGCACTCCATTTTGGTGCAAATTCCTGTGGATGGCCTGTATTCCTATTCCAGCTCTGCCCTCAATCATGGTACTTTTGTGTTCATGTTCAAAGGGACTCAAATCCTGTACTTTTGTGTGTCAGTGTATGCAAACAGAATTCCTGGGTGGAGGCTAAGCGGAACAAAACTCTAATCATTAATTACCAATGTCCTGCCTATAATATCTGCTTATTCATCAATAATTGGTACCGTAAGATACACAAAACAGAAAGAAGAAAGAAACTTTTTGGGTCCATTGGCATTAATAGCATTTGGGTTACATGAATTTATATTCAGTTGTTGCCCGTCTCTTTTCACATTTGGTGCGTGGAATTCTTATTCGTGCTGTGATGACTACTGCAATAGTTTCGATAAAGGATAACAATGAACGTGAACCGAAAAT